CATTTGTCTAAACAGTAATGAGCGTTCCTATTCGAGGCATTCGAACACGTCGCGTTCCCTGCATCCTCTGACTGCGATAAATCAAACTGATACATCTATAACATGTTACTTCTAAAAATACAACAGCAACATTCAAATTCTAACAAACGCCGATCATTCATTCGAGAGGATTACGGCGCTCGGTATGCAGAACTGCGCAGTGTCAGCGAGGGTGAACTTATGTGGAGTGACAGTCGGTCTGAAATGGCTGGAATTTTTGTGAAAATATATACTTGTTATTAGTGGTATTTTTAACACTACATCAATCACTCGTATACGAGTAACATCAGATAATATATACCAATTGCTATTTTGTGTAAAGTGTACCTTTAGATCCTAAAATATGACTACATGTGTGCACTATAAGTATATTGTTGATAAAATAAACTTAACCGATTATTTCACTAATAACAAATCCCAGTTCCATTTAACGACTTACCTGGGATAATTTTTTACAACAAAAATGTGCGAATTTTCCAGGGTTGTTATTACTATTATTATTATTATATTGGTACCTACTATATTCTATCGCAGTAGTGTTTATGTCTGTCTCACAATTTGAGCCGCCAAACAGTGCGCTTATGAATTTACGGGGTACTCGACAGAACACCTTAGTCCTTCAGAATGGCAACGTATCAGTCCTGTGATATCAAAGATGCTACCATTACGAAGTGATGTCCGTGGTGCTGTTCAAGTATATAGACGACGGTAGCCTCTTATCATCAGGTGGGTAGTCAGCTTGTATGCCATTAAAAAAAAATCAACTTATATCTGCAGGTTGTGCTCCTAGATATTTCGAAAGGGCATTTGATTGTGGGCATCCGGTACTGTCCTACTTTACGCCAATGCGTAAACGGTTGTAATGGCCCTTGATGGCTCCCTGTTGTCGGGTGATTAATGACTCCTATCGAGGTCGATTCCCTACCTTCAATCATGTAATAGCTACGAACACTCCCAGTTTAGCACAAGATTATTGCCGCATCATACAACTTATTAAAACTGTTATTAATTCTTAGATATTTTATACTGACGTTTTATAAATTAAAAATATAAGATATTAGAATGTAAAATACGTGAGCATTGATATATAAAAATGCTAAACGAAACAGCGTTATGGTAACACGAGAAGTATGACGTAAACATATCTACTTGTCAACTAATGTTAATCAACAGTTTGTTATCGCAATTATGGTCAACCCTGCTTACATCATTGCAGTATATATAATAGCTGTCTGAATTTGAGTGTCGTCTTATGATAGTTGTTTATTTTTATTTGTCACTGAAATGACAAACAAGTTCATTAACAGCATTACAGGCGTTATGTCACCCGTTATACCGCTCATGTGTTGCCAATAAGGACTACTTGGATATTTTGTCCATTTACTCAGTAATTTCACTCATGTATCGACACATAACGACTGTATATAAAGTCTACCTAGATAAAATCAGTGTTGTATTGACAAACAAAGTGTTGGAATCGATAATATTGTGTCACACAAAAACAGCAAACTATAAAGCTTGGCGACTGAATTAGGTGAGATTGTATTACGTATTTCAGTCGCCAAGTAGGTTGCTATATATTTACAAAAACAACACTTTGTACAAAGTGTTTTTTGTGTCTGCGTAGGTGAAAATTGTGTTGTATTGACAAACAAAATATTGAAATCTAAAATACTGTGTCACGCAAAAACCAGCAAACTATAATGCTTTATGAATTAGTTGAGACTATCTCGCGTATTTCAGCCGCCGAGTACGTTACTTTCAGGCAGACAACTTTATGCAAAGTCAGCGTAAGCAAAATTTAAAATCGGTGTTGTGTTCACAGAATGTTGGAATCGAAAATATTGTGTCACATGACAAATAGCAAACTATAAACTGGTCGCGTGAAAGCAATGACATGTCTTTGAAAATACGCAGTTTATGTACAAACACCATAAAATGTCAATAGATGTTAGTAGTAATTAGCAGCAATGCCGTGCAGGCAATGCAGTATACACAGAGTTACACAACTACATGCTTTTATACAGTGACAACCTCAATGGTGGGTATTTTGGAAATTTGTGGAGAAGTTTTATGTTCAGTAGTAGAAGAATGGCTGAAATAATGAGACGTAAAGTTGACGTAACGTGACCTAAACGTAAATATGTTCACGACTGTGAATCGTAGTGTTAGGTGTATAAACGGCCTCCTCACCGATTACGTTTTTTATAATAGTTGTTGTCAAATATAGATTGACATCAGTGTAAATAAATTATAAAAAAGGACAATAGAATTATTCTGCAAACATACATATTATTTATTATTTAAACACATCTCAACAAAAAGAACCCCACCACAACACGTAGTGAAAGCAACACTTGACGTCCTCATTTCGTATAGTATATTTGAAGACAACGTGGAGAGTCTACCACATGTAGTACCTTCTCATCTTTATCTTTAAATATCATAAATAGGTAAAAAATTTTCTAGCAGAAGAAGAACTTTCTTCAATTTAGACGAAATGGATGGTAAGGATAGTGATAAAAAAATATGACGTGCACAGGCAGCCGAAAAGTCTCATGTGATTAAATTATTTTAAGTTGAAATATGTGCGTTAATATCTGGAGGAATTAGGTTGAAATTTGCACAGCACATGTTGTTAAATATATGACATGAAACAAATATGCTGACCATACCCTGAAAATACCCTGAAGGGATGAAAGAATTATAGGTACTTATTATATTATCATTTAATATTTTAATAAGGAATTAATAAATGGTATCTAATACACGTTATATTTATGTTTTTGGTTATCAGCAATAGATAGTATGAACAAAGGAACAAATTCGCAAGCAATCTGGGGAAAAAAATTTTTTTGGCAAAGTTTTATCCAGGGAAAGACTGAGCATAAAGATTTTAGCAAGTGTGTACTACTGTCTTATCTATTCCTGCCACAAAGAAAATTCTCTTCTAGAAAGAGAATTTTCTCCTGCTTGAACTGTGTGATATAGGTGTTAAATTACAGTTCTTCAGTTCAGAATTTTCAAGTCAGGAGTTAAAATGACTCTCTATTTATAGAGAATTATTTTATACTAGCTGTGCCTGCGGTTTTACCTGCATGAAATTTATAGCCTATGTTATTCTGATGTATAAGCTATATTACTATAAAGTTTCATCAAAGTCCATTCAGTACACTTTGCGTTAAAGAGTAATAAACATCCATACTCACATACTTTCGCATTTATAATATTATTAAGTTAATTTAGTGATATAAAAATAGTGAATATACTATACATTCTTTGTAGCAGCATATTTTGATTTCTTTAATAAAATAAAATTTGTAATACCTATCTATATTCATAATAAATAGTAGCATGTATTGTCTTCAAATATGATATAATTATTTTAATTAATCCAATTATCTTAATTTTTGGTGATAATTATAATTACATTCATACAATTGGTATAAATGCAAAAGTGTGTTTGTCAGTTTGTACCGTTTCAACAATAAAAGGCTAAACAGGTCTTAATTAACTTTTATAAAAAAAGTTTGTATCACAAGGATGAAAATAGACTATACTTTACATATAAGAAATCACTGGTAAGAGTATAAAATATACAATTAACACTAAATTAATAAAGGAAAACTTATAAGTACATAGATTTTTATTGCTATAAAATCAAATAATGGCAAATGAATACTCTTTCAGAGTATTTTCTATTCTACTTAACAAGTGTAGTAACAATATCCAGAAAGTATCTAGTCATTATTTGTAGCATTTATATAGATTAATAGAACATATAAAAGTATATGTTTTAAGAATAAAAATATATAATGTACCATATTAAAATACAACTATAACATTACTATGTATGCATACATTTATCAATTTATTTCAATATTTTATTTAATACACCAATGGGAAATGGGAATCAGTATTTATTATAGTTTTACTTGAGCATATTAGTTGTTTATATTGAGTTTTTTCTTATTGTTTAAAAATGGTATCAATATTTTATTTTAATTAGTAATATTTTTTATGACCAATAAGATCCCAAGTGGTGAAGTACACACACACACACACAATAAAATTAAAGTGGATATGTCCGTACAAGAAATTGCTACAATGTGACTCACAGAAAGCCCTATCAATTCAATGTAAGAAGTGCATATAAAAATTCTGGTTAATATGGTTGCTAGTATTCATAACACATAATTTGCATTATAAGTATTCTGTTACGCATGTTTTTACATATACGTAGTTCACTATCAATATTTATCTAAGGATTTACAGGAAATTACATTTAGAAAATAGTTTATAAATTATATTGTATGTTCATTCATAATTTAATGCCATAAATAAGTAAGAACTTTTTGTAACTTTTGAAGGTGTGTGAAATTTGACCATGCTATTTTGATAAAACACGTCATTGCAATCAGAACAAGCCAAACAGGTTAAGATAACAGAAGAAAACTTACCTAAATCGTCCATGACAAGAATTAAGAATCCTTTCTCTTCAAATTATATGAGTTGTCCTTGTGAAAATCACTATTATTTGTCTTAAAAATTACACAAATAGTCTGCAAATCAAATAAACCGCAAATTACATTTATTAACACTACAATAAAAAAAAATGCCAATATAAATATGCAAACTGCAATACAAATTACAATTTGTCTTAATTTATGTTGGTACGACTGAAGAAACTGCCACTGTCAACTGTCAACAATGTTGTGATGTCAAAATATTTGGTAATTTCTGAACGATTTTACATGTTTTATAGCAGCAGCGTGATTGTGCCCATACAACCATAATTTTATCATACAAAAATTACACAATGGTATTCAATTAGACGTTTTAATAAATCTGTAATAATAATACTTCACATTTAACATTTTAAATTTATTTTTATTACATATTTGCAAATTTTTCTCCAAAGGAGGCTTTAAATTATAATTTCTTAAGTGGTCACACTGTACTATTGATTCATTCATATTTCCAGAACTATAGATTGTCTTGAGTACGAATCTTTCAGATTTCTGTACTATTTTCTAGTTTTACTTGTTTAGAATTACGCCCATTTTTGTTTTTAGTGTTAGTGATAAACAGATTAAAATATGAGCAGTTCAGGTGAACAGTTAACATTAGCAAGAGACATCAAAAGAGCTATTGAGCTACTGGAAAAGCTGCAGCAAAGTGGAGAGGTACCAGCCACGAAACTAGCAGCTCTTCAGAAGGTATTGCAAAGTGATTTCCTGAATGCCGTGAGAGAAGTTTACGAGCATGTGTACGAAACTGTCGATATTCAAGGCTCCGCTGATATTCGGGCTTCGGCCACTGCCAAAGCAACGGTGGCTGCGTTTGCTGCGGCCGAAGGACACGCTCACCCTAGAGTCGTTGAACTGCCAAAGACCGAGGAAGGTCTAGGCTTTAACGTGATGGGAGGGAAGGAACAGAATTCGCCTATTTATATATCCAGAATTATCCCTGGGGGTGTGGCAGACCGTCATGGAGGATTAAAAAGAGGTGATCAGCTGCTTTCTGTGAATGGAGTATCAGTGGAAGGCGAAAACCATGAGAAAGCTGTAGAGCTATTAAAGCAAGCTGTTGGATCAGTGAAGCTTGTCGTTCGGTATACTCCCAAGGTTTTAGAAGAGATGGAAATGAGATTTGACAAGCAGCGCACAGGACGGCGACGTCAGAACTACAACTAAGTACCCAAATAGTAAAACTGTGTTCAGTTTGTGAATATTTTAATAGAATGTTATGTTTTAATTGCCTGGCTGAGAAGCATGGTTGAAATTTTGACTTGTCTCCTGTTTTTGGGTGATTGACCTAATTGTTTATATTTTATTTTAAAGTTTATGAGGGATTTACATTATTATTATATAATTACATTCTTTCTAAATAACAGCACATATACAACTACAAAATGTGTGCATTGTGCGATTGGATTATATATATAAATATATGAATTAGTAATTTCAATATGAACTTTTCCCATACTCCATCTCATTAAGGCCTTTGAGCCGAGGCTATTATGGTAATAAACCAAATATTTGAAGTGAAGAAGCTGACAAGTTTTGTAACATATATAATAGACTAGGATTTCCAAAAAATTGGTTGATGCTTGGGGCAAGTGCCAAACCTGTGAATCCACATTATATTTTGCGTTGTACCATTTAAATAGTTGTTTATGATTATTATTAAGTAATTACTATATAAAACATCAATACCATAACCCTACACATTGTAGTGTTATTTTGAGTTACTGCACTTTTGCTCCAAAATGTAGTTCTCTATAAATCTTTGATATTTGTATGACTAAGGACTATGTTCATTAAGTATTATTTATGTATAATTTATGCTATACATTTTTAATAAAAATTATTTATTGCAAATTAATTATAATCATCTGTATCCATACATAATAATACTGTGTTGACTCCACCATAATGTATTTATTTGAAATGAAATGAATTTATTTACAAAATACAATTAGTTGGTACTTATATTTGTACATTATAGTATTTAAGTTAAAATGAAGCACTTTATGTCTGTAAATAAATTTAATAGACAAAATAAATCATTTTTATATAGGTACTTTAAAATACACTTAAGTCATATATGACTAAGTGGTCAAACCTGATCAAGCATTAGGACTTTATGCACTTAAATTTTTAAACTCCATAATATTGATCTTTATAGGACTGATAATGAAGGAGTTCTTCACACAGAACTAGATTAGAAATGTACTTAATCACTTTATTATTAATTATAATCTTATGCAAAATGTCAGTATTCTAGTTGGTATCATAACAATTAAAAATATTAAATGATATATACATGTTTTATTATTCTCTACATAAACTACCATGAGTCAAAGCTTCCAAATTTATAATTAGGATCTTTTTTAGGTTTCTTCATTGGTACATCCTGAGTTTTAACTGTTTTGCTGGATGTTGGCACTTCTTGTAAATTTAAGTACTTTCCAACACCATCTCTGAATACTTTGAGAGGCTGTTTTGTTGCTTTTTTAGGTTTTACACCAGGGCCATCTGCTTCAGCCTGTCTTTTCAACTCTTCTGCTCTTTCTATAGCTAACTGTAAAATAAAATTATTTATATAATAAAATCCACAAAAGCAATATCTTTTTTTGTATTATAATTGTGACTTTATTGTTAAATAATAGATTACAGTGAGTGAGTTTGGACAGTGAAATTATATAGTATAGTGGCATAACTTAAGAAACATTTGAATTTGAAACAAAGATCTACAACAGTCTATCCTATTGTGTTGTTCATGTATTTAGATGATGGTTATTATTTCCTACAGGTTTGTTATAAGCTAAGATGTTCCAGATTAATAAAAAAAGAGGTAGATTTCCAAAAGATTGTATACATGGGTAACTTTATTTACATATTTCATTCAACAAGCTTGCATTGTAAGGTGTGTTCCGGAGTTAAAGGAAAATCCGTCAAATTACAGGATAATATAGGTATAATACCTTAGTCTTTATAAATAGAAGTCTTAAGCATCACATGTTTAAATATATTGGTGACATTTACCAATTACAATCAGATAGGCATTAGTTTGTTTTTAATTACAATTAAATAAAAAACATATTTACCTGTTCTTCAGCTTCACTGAATGGGTCCACAAATACTTGGGCTACTTCAATAACAATGTCTTGAATCGGCCTATCCTTATTATCAACTTCTATTTGCTCCATTGCATTCAATGTGTCCAGTCCACCAACCAGTTTGCCAAATATTGTATGCTTGCCGTCTAATTGTTTGCAGGAGCGAAATGTTATGAAACTAAAAATATAACGATTAGTCATTAATTACATCTAAAATATCCTAAAAACCAACTTTAATTAATTTGACTGTTTTTTACAAATGAACATAAAAACTATAAAGATAAACACAAAGTAATTAAATAACTAAAATATTGTTATATCTATTAGGCGTATGGTGTTATTTATCAAAATGCGGGTAGTAGAATGAAAGTATACACTTACAACTGTGATCCATTAGTGTTAGGTCCAGAATTGGCCATAGAAAGAACTCCGCGTCCGGTATGATGTAGATTTGGTCTGATTTCATCCTCAAATGGTTTATTCCAGATTGATTCGCCACCTACTCCTGTGCCTGTGGGGTCGCCACCTTGTATCTAAAATTATTGATATAAAAATTAAACTCATTTTACAATGAACAAATAATATAATTGGAATACAAATGAAGTTGCATCTCAGCACCAGGCTTAGTACACATTGGTTTCTGATTCAATCTCATTTGCATTTGTAAGTTTATGCAGGTACACTTATCAAGGCGTCCCGCCAGCGCCAGTCCCGTTAGCGCAAGTGGGTGCACTATTCCATTAATTATTTATTTATTTTATTTCTTCAAACATTAATGCAGAAATATAAATGCATATGGCGGACTTAACACCTTGAGGTAAGAATTAAGACCATTATCATTCGTTAGAAAAATATTCACCATGAAGTTTCGTATCGATCTGTGAAACTTAGTGCCATTGTAGTATCCATTATGGCAGTGCTTTATGAAATTGTCAGATGCCTTTGGTGTGGCGTCACAGTACAGCTCAAAATTAAGTGGACCCACATTCGTCACCAGCCTCACATATCCTGTAATTAATAAAAAATAATAATATGTGTATACAGTATTAATTTAAAATGATTAACAATTTCAATATAGTTCTTTATTTCAAAGTGTATAATAATAATAATCATCATCATTATATGTCTCAAATAAAAACTAATACAATTATTGCTTATAGAACAATACAATTAGAAAGTAATGAACCAGACAAATGGTTTGTAACCTAGAGGAGCAGAGAGTCCACCCGCTCTGCTGTTCTGTTATAGCTTTTATTAGTAAATTAATACAAAAAGAGATCGACAATGATGATAGTACTTAAGTTCTAAACTACTATTACATTATAAACTAATAAAATTGGACAATAAGAAACTTAAAAATTATTCCGGATTAATTACAAAATTAAAATATACTGCCACACATAATATGTGTGGCAGTATTTATAAGTATGTAAACTTGATTCACCAGTCAAAATTTGATTTGAGATGGATAGATTGTAATTCAATGAAAATTAATACATTGTATTACTATAATATGTAAGTAGTATGCAGTATACTCCACAATTAATTAGTTAAACAATTGAATAAATACCTTTTTTCTTCACTCTCTCATATTTGACTTCATCTTCACAAACTATTGCAGCTTCATGAACAGTCTCAGGTACCATAGCAGTAGATGTGAAGCTGGCAGCCACCATTCCAGTGGAATAATGTGCGGCATTGAATTTGTCTGCAACCTGTGTAACAATACCTGATAACGGCAAACCTATGGCCTTGTTGGTCTAGCTAGCCTAGGTTTCACTAGGCACACAACTTTACTTCCGATGGTTAAATTATCCAATCCATATTGCTTATTGTACATATTAATTTTACATGTATTTACTCCAACTTAGCAACTGTTAGTTCAGGACAGGACAGGACCCATGACCAGGATAATTGTAGGTGTCGAATTATATCTTAAAGAGTATATTATATCATGTAATTATACTTTTTATATAATGTTTTCATTAATTGAAGATAGACTTTGTCATGTTACATAGGATTTTTGTAATTTTAAATCTTAAGTATCTATGAACAACTTTATACCTCTTTCTTTTTTTCCTGTTTTTCTGGTGCTTTATACTCCTTTTCTAGTTCATTTAAAATGTCTTTAGTTTCAGCAGATACCGTTTTCAATCTGGCATGAGGATCCTTTTTCATTGCAATTTCCTCTGCAAAAAATATGTATAAATTAATGGAATACAAAAAATTCCATTGCCAAAAGTTTTCTTAATTCAAAATATTATTAGACTGGGTCATAAACAACTATATTTACATATAAATAAAATCATGAACACCCAAAAATTCTCTGTTTATCTATTTGTGTATTAATGTTTAGCATAAAAATGGCTGAAATTGATTTTTCTTACAAAATGTTGTTAAATATGTGTCAACATATATATCCTAGAGTAATATTAGGAAAATACCCCTAAATGGATATACTAGTAATTATTTATAAATATAATAACAATTATTGTTAATTTTTTAAAACAAAATTTAAGGTGTCATAAAATATTCTATTTAGTTTTGTAATATTTATATTCAATACAATGCATGGCATGTACAAATGTACATGCAGATGAAGTTGCAGACATGACTAGTTTGTAAATATAGAAAAGAAAATATAGGTCCTTTGAAATATAGAATAGTGGTTGAAATTTGAATATATATTAAATTTTATTAATTAAACATGTTCTAGTGTTGAAGATAAAATGAATCTGTGAATGTGTGTATCATTAGTGTATCATTTTTATGCATATAGAAAAATCTTATGTTCTGTAACTGTGTAAAATGTCTAATTTTCATCAATAGGTACTAAGGTGTTTTCCTTCACATAATATGTAAACATTGAAAAAACATATATCAAACATATAGAAGTGTATAGTTTTTATGCATATTAAAAACCTCCATATTAAAATCCATAACTGTGCAAAATCTCATGTTACTTCCTCTATGCAATTTTCATGAAAATATGTGAAGGAAAACCTTTGTACCCCTCAAAGGTTTTCCTTCACATATTATATGTAAACACTAAAGAAAGTCATACCTTCTGTCTCTACTCTCAAATTGTTCTTGACATGATGAAATTTTGATATGTTAAATTTGTTCAGGTTGTTTGGGTCCTGTATTGTGATAATGTCACTTCTTGCAAATGGAGTATCATTAATGAGGTCCTTCCAATTCTTGCCTTTGATATTAAGCTGTTCCACAGCTTCATAGGAGAACACATTGCCACTTGTGCCAATTGCCACAATGTGTGAGTTTTTAGTAAATGGTTTAAATAAAACTGGACAATGGTAGTCACCTTGAGCATTTTTGAAGAAGTTCAATTTTATCAGTGATTTAATGTCAAATTTCTGTAAAATAGACAAGATTTAAAATCAATTACGGGAGTATTTATGTTAAAAAAATATTTCTATTATGATATTATTATTTTTCCTACTATAATAAAACTGCTATTTAATGTTTTACAGAATAATATTTCTATACACATATACTAATACTAAAAACAAACTTTAAAAAGTAGTTAAACATCCTAAAATATTTTAACTATATAAAAATTTGGATGTAATACTTAAAATAACTAAGTAGTACAAAGAGTTTTATTTGGTCATGACCAAGCACTAAAATGAAATTAACTATGCCCGTTATATGAAAACTGAGTTATGCTAAGTACAAATTAGAAAATAATATTTACTTACCTTACCAGTCACAGGGTTCACTTTAAACTTCTTCAAGAACTCAATAATAGCTTGTAGTTCGAAAATATTACCATCTGCATCACAATACGGATCATCGAAAGTCTGCAGACAGAGGCAACAATGATCATATGGGAGCCTCTTAAAAGTAGTATCCTCCTCAACAGACGTGCCTGATCTTTTTCCACCATATAGAGTAGTCCATTCGGTGTATGTTATATACCTAAACATTTACAGAAAATATGATATAAGACTATTTTATTTCTGATGTATTTACATCAAGTTATACTGAGTGTTATTTATGTACAAACATTTTATCCTTCTGGTGTTGGCGTTTACCCATTTTGTAATTGCTTTGAACGAAGACGAACTATTAAATCAAATAATTTCTGCAATTAAATCAAAGATTAAGAACAAATAAAAATATGAGGAATTTAAGAATTTTAATAACAATTCTAAATCCACAATTACCACAATATCAAATCAATCAAGTTATAATTATATGTCACAACTGTCAAGTCAAATTTGACTGATTCCCACTGGCAGTGACTGACACTCTCATGGAGCTGCAGATAATATTGCTAGAAAAAATAACTTTTCACTAATTATAAGTTATTTCGACTATTTGTAATAACAATTTGCGACAATTCGTTACAAGATTGCGTAATCTTTCGTATAATATATCTATCCAACTTTATATAAGTAATATCAAGCCACGTGTACAAAACCTTAGTGATTATTTAAAATTCAAAAACACTAAAATAAATATTATTCAATAAAAAATATTAATTTGCTTAGCAGTAATAAACCACTGTGTGTAATACAAACTCAACAAAAATTCTTTAGACTGTCTAAGGAGCACAAAATATTGATTTTCTCATTTCATTGTATTTTCATTCAGTAGTAATCATAGTGAAAACAGGGTTTATTGTTTGCATCGTCGAAATAAGATTGGCAACTACTACAACTTTTTTTTTATTAAAAAGTTAAAAAATGTCCGAAAGTGGTTGTGTACGATTTTGTGAATTTAATCTTTAAAATATTTAGATTTACTTATATTTGTTTATTAAAATTATCTAATTTCTATAGATCCCGGTCTTAGACTAAAATTGTTTATAAATTAATTATTAAAAATCAATTACTTGTTTTCTTATGTCGTGAACGTTTGCGCATTTCATAAAATTCTGTCCGTGGTTGTTTGTGTGTTGGTGAGCGTGATGGACAAATAGATGAAATGTATTGAAGTGTATTGAAGCTTTGAAATTCGCCGGTACACTGCAAAATATCAAGTTTAATATTTATAAAGGTATATTTTGTCTGCAAATCTAATTTTCAGGCGGTTTTTACATTTTTATCAAGTCATGGGAAAGTAACAGTCTAAATATTTGCGGTTTCCAGTGCGGATGCGGAGCACATACCGAGGAGTTTGAGTTGATATCGTAACCCAAAATTTATACATAATCTGGACGAATTTATTTATATTCTATATATCGCGTGTTTGGAGAAGGCTATTTCTTGAATTGGGTCACTGGTGAATTGAAAAATTGTAAATTATCGGATAACGCCAGCCCACAAGATGGCCGACTGTTATTCGTAAGGTACAAATTAATCTTTTTACATTACATATCACGACGTTACATTGATCTTTATTCATTAACATGTTCTAGTGAAATTTAACTATAGTTGCTTAAATTAGTTTTTCCCTTTAATATCTAAAAATAAACGCGTGTGAAAGTCTTTGTTCTTAATTTGACCGTGCTTCAAATAAAAAAAATGCAGTTCACCTTTTGCACTCTAAATACTGTTTTGATAGAAAACAATTTAATTTTTATGCGATAGATACTTGTGTGATCTATAGTTGTGCAACTGTTCAGGTATTGACTATACCTTAATCATGCACTTGACATAGTATTTTCTTTTGTATGCAAACTTTGCGTAATTACTTTCACGTGTAAACGTTGTGCCATTATATTTTATTCCGCTAACTATTGATTCGCTTTTGTCCACTTTCATTTTTATTTTAGCATGTTCATATATTTTATAATTTACGTATAATTGTACTAGAATACATTATTTTTTTTTTCTCATAACCTTCTAAATAATTTTGTTAAGTTGACTATATCATCCAAGTTTGTTACTTTTAGATAATGTCCGGTGCGTCTGGTTCATCAGGAAGTGGAACAGGACGCGGCCGAGGCGGTGCAGGGTCAAGTGGAGCTATAACTGATAACAAACCAGATTCTAAAGAGAACAAACCCAATCCAAAAATGTCTAAAGCACTTGGTACATCTGCAAAGAGGATCCAAAAGGAACTAGCAGAGATTACTCTAGACCCGCCTCCCAATTGCAGTGCGGGACCCAAAGGGGACAATCTTTATGAATGGGTGTCTACCATTCTAGGGCCACCTGGTTCGGTATATGAAGGTGGTGTGTTTTTCCTAGACATTCACTTCTCACCAGAGTATCCATTTAAGCCTCCTAAGGTATGTATAATTGTCTATTTCTTAATATTTTCTTTATTCACCTTTCTTAAGTAACTATTGTTGTGTTAGAAAATAGACTTTCTGGTTTTATCCTTACTAAGCTTTCTGTGATGCCTAGCATGCACTATTTTTAAATATTATCTGAATGAATTCAATTGGAGTACTAAGAAAAGTTTTGAAATGTAATCATGATGACTAAACAATCCAATTATAATGTTAATTCCAACAATCACACAATATAAAATAAACTACAATAGTACCAGTATGTAATGTAAGTATACAAAGGTGTAATACATTACAGTTTAAATACTCTTGTATTTTTTTTTAATTTATTTAAGTACTCTGATTAGTTTTGTTAGTAGACTAAGGAGTATATGCCATTCATATGTGCCTTTTACTGCTTAGTAGGGTTCTCCCATTCAACTGTATGTGCACCCATAGGTTATTATGAAAAGGAGTTTAGACATTGTTGGATGTAGAGGAAGCAAAGACATATGTATGTATGTTTGAACATTTGGTGTTCTTTAGTCACCCTATATTTGAGTCTGTAATTAACAAAATCTGCAAGAGAGTTCTCCCTTAATAAATAAATGTAAAATAACAAGACAACAAATAACAACACTAAAGTATACTAAATCTACGGAAAGTGTATATTATCGTATGTGTGATTAATCGTTATTGTTATAATAGTTTTGTGATTAATATATCAGTTTATCTAATACCTGACATTGTTGGATAAGCGTTATGTAGATCCTGATTTATCAATCCTCACATCAAGAAACGTAAAAATGATCAAAGACATATGTATGTATGTTTGAACATTTGAACAGTGTTCTTTAGTCACATAAAGACCAGCTATATTTGACAGTCAAAATGAAACACATAAAGAAATTGCCACAATTCAACAAAATTTACTGCAAACAAGATGAATGTACAAAAAAATTTGAAAAAATGTCTAATACAATCAAAAGTGTCGACTGCTTATCAATAATCTAAAATTACAAAATCGGCAAAATGACACAAGATAGTAATATATTGTAGGTGTATATAAAATATAAAAGACAGTGTCATAAAAATTGTAAAAAGACTCGGTATGGATATTCAAGCAAGTGACGTTTTGCAAGTTTAGAATCACTCTAAAACTGTTCCAGAGTATTGTTCCAAGTTACTTAAAGACAACATCATTAAAGACTACAAAAGATATCGATTTACAATTTTTATTAATGAACACCTCAAAAGTTATTAAAAAAATCTAAAATAAAAAATATCAGTTTGTGTGGATAAAAAATGGCAATTTTCATACGAAAGGACGATACTGCACATGCAATTCAAATTTTTACCGAGTTTAAAAAAGATCAGTGCATAACAATAAACAGTTATAATACTTCCTATTTATTAGTGATTCAAATATTTACTATTATTACCTAACATTATTATTCCACAATACACAAGTAATATCGATGATTACAGTAAAATCAATAATGTTTTTATTAAAAATATTTGTTCATAATACAGTCTGTGTATGCTGGCTTAACCAAATACAATCCACAAATAATTTTGAATTATTGGCGATATATATTATAAATCTTCTATCTCTGTGTACACTACATAACACATATATATACTTTACACTTATAGTATATCATCATTACATGAACTTAACTTGTGTTGATATTGCAATCAAACTATAATTTCTTATTATAACAAACATAAATTATTGTTGTATAAAAAAAGATTAACAATATTATTTAAAATATATTTTTGTACTAATAAAATTATTAACTCCAGGAACTGTGACTATGATAAACAGTTGCATGTATTTGAATGGAATGGCAACCAACCAAGTAATGGCTTGGAACACTTATTCATTATATTATCATTATATATCACAGATGAGAAAATGTTGCATGTGTTACAATTTTGCGATGGATACTTAATAATACACAAAATCATAATCATTACTATATATAGTATGGTTGAACGAGTTGTTTTTATGCCTGATGCAAGTTTACAAAACTTTAATAGCAATATTAAACAGCGCTGTTTGTATGTTTGTGCATACTATCGTAATGGTGGGTTTTAAGCTTTCATTTTATTTATTGTATATAATTATATACAAATAGTGTTAATTATTGATATTTTCTTGAGTTTATGATTTTGATCACAGTATTATATTTAAGTTTCTACATTATAAATTCAATATAAAAATCTATAAATTATGTGTCCGTCATGATATAAACTAGTAATAAAAATGGATTATTCATATATATTCGATAATCAGCTGTTCAACACTCTGTATAGATTACTTTTTAAATGTGTGTGTCACTACACAGTAATTGTTAACTCTCATATATACATATATAAATCATGTCATTATACTCATACAAATAATTTACTTTTAAATAAATATTATTGGAGTATTAGTCTATCACAGTGTTGAGTTCAAAAAGCAAAAAACCAAAAAAATTTGAGATATTCTACCAGAATACTCGCGGGATTCGTACTAAATGCCTACAACTACGACAACAAATCTTATGTAATGAATATGACATTATTATCACATATTAATATGATGTCCATCTTACTGGCATGTATATAACAGGTGATGGTTACCACTTACTATTAGGATGGTTGTAAGCTTGTTTGCCATTCTAGTTACATTAAAACTAATCTGGATAAATGTATCTTTGTAAAACAAAATGCTGTCAGATTTTTTAAATTAGTTTTTAGTGTTATCAAATATTCAGAGAAACAATGGATTGCAAAATTTTCACTCTCAATTTGAAACATTATTTTGTATATTCAATATATTGATGTATAATTTGTTTCAATGTTATAATTGATCAATGTAATTTGCAATTTATATTTGAATGTTTTATTCTGTTAAATAAATACAAATATATGGTTTATGTTTCAGGTGACATTCCGAACTAGGATATACCATTGTAACATCAACAGCCAGGGTGTGATATGTCTAGATATACTCAAAGATAATTGGTCACCAGCATTGACAATATCTAAGGTCCTACTATCTATATGCTCATTGCTAACTGACTGTAATCCAGGTAAGTTTTCACTTTAAGTTTCAGAGCCTGGTTTTCTATTTGAGGATAGTTGCCTTAACAATTCATTCTGAGCCCATTGTTTTGTAACTGGCTAATGAAGAAATGTTTTTATTAACTATTTTATTATTTAGTAGGGTTCTAATTCAAATTGAGAATCCTGCTTGTGTGACATAATGTTGAATATAATACTGTAACATTTGTATTGTATGGTACAACTGCAACACTTTGTATGGTAATCATGTTTTAGTCATTTTCGTTGGTGACTTAGTGCTTCTAGTGCAATTGGAAGCTCAATACTGCAATGAAAATAGTTTATACTTGATCGGCTGAATTGGTATCCGAATAAGGAGTTTCAAATTTTATTAAAGACTACAAATGCAAATAACTAAATGGCCGTTTTGTTTGCAGCGGATCCACTAGTGGGCAGTATTGCAACACAATACATGCAGAATAGAGAGGAGCACGATCGTATCGCGCGCCTCTGGACCAAGCGTTATGCGACATGATTGCCCTGCCCCCCCACATCCGTTGCGGAACAACTTAATACTATCATACTCAACACCATTCTGTTCTAAATCCATCCTGTACACGTAAATGTAAGCTTACAATGTTAACAAAGTATCCAATCAATTAGTACACACTACTTGCATCATATTCATTAATTTTACAAATGTTTTAGATCAAATGTAGTTATATGAATATGATGCAAAATGTGCATGTTCATGACGGCTTATTAATATTTAGTTGCAATTAATGTGATGTCAACATGCTTGAGAAGAAGGTCTGATGTGTATAACTTTAAGGGACGTAAAATTTTTAGTTACAAAATGGATGATTTTCTGTTAATTTTATAGTTGTGTTAAATGCGGCGACAATCCCGTTTTAGTTCAAAAGTGAATTTGGTAATGACTAGTCATGGTTTTGTTCCATTCTGGTAGTGAATGTAAGATAATACTTTTCCATATATATGTATACATATTCTGGAATTATTACTGAATTGAATTTTGTGTAATGGGACGTGAATTTCTAATGATTTACAAATAGTAGGTTAAATCAGTGAATTGAGTCAATTTTGCCGCGGAATCGCGATGATCTCAAACACTTTTAACTAATTGTAGCAGTCTCGTGTGGTCATGAATAGAGAGATCTACATATCGAATAAAAATTGGAATTAATAGCACTTCCTATATCTTTGTTTTTATTTGCAGAAACCAATATGCACGGAACTTTCTCTGCTCTATTGCCAGTTTATTTTTACACTTTATTAAATACAATTAAAAACTATAAAAATCTCTAATAAACATAATCTCTCATGAACAGTCATTAACCGTAGAAAATATTTGTTAATTTGCGGATAATGAATAGGAAATAATATAACTGTCTAATTATAAAACAATACATTTTAGGCATGCACTTTATAACTAGTTTCATTGGTACATTCATATATAAAATAAATGCTATTATGATCTGTATAAAAACGTGTTTATAATCCCTGCGCATACGATGTACGGAGCATAGTCCCATTATTCTACAGCTGTAGAACTATCTGTATCAGAAATATAGTAGATCTCTTCTAGGACCGTGTTCATTAGGAATCAACACGATATCCATTGATACGAAAATGTAATAAGTATATGTATTAATTGACTCTACTCCATAAAATAAGACTCCATAACATAGATTCAAATGTACTATTTAATCACTAAGAAAATGTACTTCTTGAAATGTAGGTACATAATTGTAACAATACTCTTCCATGTCTTCAACGCTGTTCCCTTACCTAAGCCTTATTATATGAAAAATTTTGTAGATTTTCTACTTTGTCCATTTAATTTAAGACTTAGATAGTCAAATTATTTAAATATTTTGCCGTTGAAACTTTCTTTCGCATAATATAAGTGCAATTATTACGAGATTTCTAAAATACGGCGCATTTTAGTACACAATTTTGAAATGAAAGTACCTACATAAGGTCGAGGATATAAAACCTATTTATTTTTTATAGTAAAGGGCTTGTGGATGTGTTACAAGATGTGATCATGCTAGGTCTAACGTGATGGATCGTATTATGATGAAATTCTAATTATTGTAATGTAATACCGTCAAGTGACTTGACAATATTGGTAGGAGCCAGTTTTATTGTTCCCAAAAATTGTTTACAAAAATGACATATCAATTGCGTCTTCTAGAATTGTTGGCGATTGATTTGTAATTCCTTTCCTTAGGGTCAAATTGCACTATCAAATTTATAGGATCATATCTGTGTATTGATACTTTTAAATCATATGGTAGAGAAAAGTAAAAGATCTACTGGATTACAGTATAGCATGTAGCCAGGTCATTTATTCATCGCGTTTTTTACTAAGATAAAGATACATGTGGTCCTATATATATGATAATGGAATATCCCATAACTATCAAATCTGCTACCGTAACATGCGCGCTGACCAATACGTGCCAAATATTACCGGGCACACTTGGCCTCTGCTCCAGTCGAACGTTATTCGATCTTTTCTATATTCCGTTTAGATTGTAAACAGTTATTAGATGTAAGTTATTCTATTATCTAGGTATTGTATAATGTATGTCTTAACCTTAGTAATAAATAGATTTAGTATTGTAATGATTTTAGCGAAAAGCGTATGTCGCGCGTATATGAATGTTTTGGTGATATTGTAATGATGAAGTTCATTATATTTTTAATTGATGAATTTGGTGATTTAATTAGTGGTGCTGTGAGGTTCAAATGCTTGCGACATACAAGGAGGTGAATACTACGATTGTATTCCGGACTGGGTATATTTGGTCAATGTGATTTTTTTAGTTATTTTTACAACTATGTTGCTTGCATAAGACAACAACTGTATTTAATTGACGCGACTGAATGTTCCTTAAAACTTGATGTATAAACTCTGACCCCTTGTAATCATCCTATGTTACAATTTATATTATGGTATAAAATAGGAGAATAAAATGTGTGTAACTAGGACACTGAATGCTGTTTTATTGTATACGAACCTAATAAATAAAAAAAAAACTGATGCTGGATAATGAGATTTTATTATAAATAGCACATATACATTTCCAGAGACACTATAAAACACCAATCTAATTACGTAATGAGAGATATAAAACAACTATATTTGTATATAATATAATAGTAATAATAGATGTTCTAACACCGATAAGATTGTACTTATTACTATAGTGAGACATTTATGAAACGCATATTTTCAATTTGATTAATCAATACAAAGATTTGCATAACACAAATTAAAATTACTAGATTCATATTGGCATTTAGGAATAATTTATTCGAAAAATCAGTCTTACACTGAGCACTCGTGATTTTATGTGAAACAAGTCTCAAATACTGTGCACTGTGCGGGTCACACAATTCTAACAAAACTGACAAGGTATGCTTAAAATGTAAATAAAAGATATATTCTATTAATGCTATTCGAGGTAACAAAATTATAACTATAAAGTTCTCAAAAAATGTATCAGACAAAAATAAATAGAAAACGAATAAAATCTTAAATTCCAACAAAGTTTCTTTACGTATACATATGAACTGAATTGTACTTAAGTAAAAAATAACATGTTTAAAAAATATAATTATACATTATATACTAAGGTTCTACAGACACCGAGATTGTTTTGACTTGTTCCAATTTAAACTGTTTCGTACTGGCTGCGGATCGATCTAGCGAGGCAGCAAGCGAATATAACACCCAGAAGCTGAAAAATGGTAATGTTATTTAAAAAAAAAATGTACTTCAAATTATTAATAATAGTATTCTCATCACAATATGATTTTAAAAAGTCTTATATGAATTGAATAGTTATAATAGTTTTTTAGTTAAAAAAATAGTATGTTTAGCGACCTCATGATATAATCCTTCACATCAAATTTCATTAACATTAACTTGTTCGTCAGATGCAAAAAGGTTACAAACTGACAGACACGTGGATTTATAATATGGGTATGTATAAATAAGAATTGCCTTACCTGCACAATAGCAATGCCTACGCCGACGCCACCGAGGATCGCAGCGATATCTTGCAAATGTTCAACGACTTTATTCAGACAGCCATCGGTGCGGAGGGTCGGCGAATCGATGGTACAATCTGAGGAACTGCCGCTAGTTATAGAGTGGGGCAGACCCGCGCAGCAGGTATTTGGAATTTTAATTCCATTGTTACTCCAGTCTTTGGGTCCGTTGATGCCGCAGCAGTTCAACTAAACATAAAAAAAAAAAAACTATAAAATACAGTTAATGCTCCAAATAATAAAATAACCAGATATTACTATTGATTACCACGACTGTTAAGAAAAAATGGTAAAATATTGAATATATCTTCATTAAGATTAGTTATTGTTAGGAGTATGAGTTGTAGATATACGACCTAATTGTCTGTGTATCGATGACGATGTCGTTGCTTAGCATCTTGTTGATTGTAATATATTTTTATTCTGCTTATTATACGTATTCAATAATTAATATTGTTTTTTGTTCTCAACTTTAATAGTCATTAAAAGATAATAAGTAGATATACTTTCGCAAGATATACTCTAGAAAGAGACCCTAGAGCTTTATTAAAGGTAGCCCTGTTCCGTCTCATTTGACATCCTTTGTAACTTATTTTGCCGTTTTATTTTTAACATCATTCTTAGAAGCACTGCCTTGAGGTATATTCCCGAAATTGTATAGGCTTAATGCATAAACGGAGAAATCAGAATATCTGAAATATCCCTAAATTTAAGAGTGGATTCATTGAAAACATTCTTTTGCTACGAACAAACATTGCAACAATTAAAAAAAATATGTAAAAAGTGTGGCTGGCTGGCTCCAAAAGCTAACAAAAATCCTAGCAATCGACTAACTAGTAATCGTCTATCAATGTAGTGGAACCGAATCCGGTTATTTGCGGCTCTATTGTACTTGTGTACTCTAATAGAGACAAGCGTGACATCGCACCTCCGCTTAAGTAGCGCCGAATATTTTCGTTGTACTATACTCACTGTTGCCAGCGAATTACTAGGTACTTTGAGTAGTTTAATTTTCATTATTATAATTCTCCACAGAAACAAACATCACTCCTATTTTAGTTTTCCAGATTATTTTTTGACATAAAATATAGCTTCTCTGTTCAGGTCAAAATTCATTACAATCCGTTTACCAATTTACTTGTGAAGAGCTAACAAACAAGACATTTTCGCATTTATAATATTTGTATGGCTTTTGCGTTCCAATTTGAGGTAGATTTCTTTTGTAATACTACTTGAAACTTACATCGATCCCCGTGCAATTCAAACGTGGTTTAAACCTCTAGCGGTGCATGCAGACTAATGTCGTATTCGTCAGGCAGGAGTTGGCCTTCAGCCGCTCCATACATCCTTCCGCGCGTTTGGAGTGCAATCTGTACTCGCTTCCGTCTCGTATAGTCCGGTGAAGCTATAAAGGCCAGCTACGACCAACAGCATTATAGTCCGAAAAAAAAACTTACGTCAGTCTGGATGATGTCAAATGTCCGTTGAACGTCGGCATTCGTCGGGTATTCTTTGATCGTTTCGTTCAGGTGGCGCTTGATGCTGTTCTCCAAGTCCTTATGCTTCACGTAGCCCGCGATGCCAATCGCCAGCTCAGCCAAGAAGATGATCAACAAGAACACCGAGAACTGGAACATTAATTGTAAGAATTATACTATAAGTCCTTCCGTATAAATAGGTAGGAGTATAGAGTGTCTCCTGTACTTGACCGTTGTGAAGTTGTAAAAGCTAGAAACAGCATTAGAATAACCACCAACCTCGCAGTTATACTGGCTGAAACTTGCGGGTTATGCAAGCTGATAAGGACGCGTTCTCTTAACCTTACAAATTATTTTCTACTTTTTGCGCTTTGTCTCCTTCTGGGGCAGCGGACGACACAGTAACAGTTTTAGTGGCAACATTGGAATATTTTCAACATTTGTTATTTACAAACTTTGTTTCGGTTATAGGGTGACATTAGGTAAAGAAATTATATTAAGACATTAGGTTAAGAATAGGACAAGAGGCATGACATCTTAGTCCTCAGGGCAACGCGCATACGGTATCACTCTCATGATTATAAATTCCAATAACAAAAAACGTAATTCAAAGATTAGCTGCTGACAAAAGACGATGTTATCGTTAATGTAAACATCAGAGCATTATCCTACAGAGCCTAAATTAGAAATATTTGGTTTGAAAACTCGTGATCGTGTCAATTTAGAAGACAGTAATATTGGGCAAATTAAATGCATGAATCGGAATAGTGAATTTCAAATGCTTGAATGAGAGTAATTGATGTCACAACAGAACTGCCAATTACTCAAGTTGCGATGAAGTCAGAAGCTATGACCTCCGACACGCGCCGCCTGTTCATACGCTAAATGGACACTTCCCGTCTATTTAATTTGTAACTACCTATTACTGTACCCTTAGAATGAAGAATAAGGAAATGTGTTTTATAAGATGCTTTCTCAGCGTCTAATGGGTAATACAAATATCCAGGCCAACTGTAGTTAGTCGTAATCTTTGCCTTACACATGATAGGCTTAGACTAAGAGGGCATGTTTCAGTGCCCTGTTATTTGTCAACTGCACTTTCTTATTTGTGACCCTACAACCCATATTACAACATTATTTAACAAACATATCTTAAAAAACAAGCTGGTTAGCCGCTGAAATATGTAGATGCCCATGTAACACTTTATACAAAACCTAAGCTAATTTTGTCAACTTACTTGACACGGGTTATTAGTGTAGTATTTTTAAGTAGAGTATAAAAACTGAGATTAGAACGTGTTTTTGTCGCACGCCAGAAGCTTATATTCAAAACAAAGGCTGATTGTTCTAAATATATTAAGGCTATTTTAGTTTCGAGTGGCGGGTCGATATCTCCATGATATTATTGGATGGCCTAATTCGATTGGAATGGTTTAAGTCGAGTGTGAAGTACCAAAAGGCCTAATAAGCAATCACTATTTTTATGAATAATCATGGAAAGGTGACCACGCATGCGATTTTGGTATATTCTGCAGTTTTCTACGGTTAGATTTTTTACATAACTACAAAATAAATCTAGTTGTTTGGTTACAGTTCGCATACAGCTCGGCTTAATTTTAGACTTGAAAGCGTAAAGCAAAGCGTAAGAGGCCGAAAGGTATATGACTGTAAATATAAACGTATAAATAAAATGAGATTTTACTGAGTTAATGAACTGAACTATTTGTAACAATAATACTATTAACGTGGGGATATACAATAGAAAACCAATAAAGTACCGGTACTTTAGATACGGGTAGTACTATATGAGTATACAAAATAAACTAAATATGTTATTATATTCTCAGAGTTAGGACCTTTGCCCGCATTTATAGCTAAAATTTTTACCACACAAAGTGTTAAATTTGTTATGCTTGTACGTCATCTATTGTGACGCAGAAGAGTTGTATCAACTTGACAATAGATGATTAAGAATTAAAAATAATACTACATATTGATATTTGGTTATTTTTTGTCGTAGCCTTGAAAAAGTTCAATAAATATTTTTTTATTCTTTTAGTTTCAAATTAATAACAGTTTTCACAGATGTAGACTTTGTAGAAAGTCGTCTGTGTGATATCTCAGTTTCACCTATTATTGTTTTAATGGATGATAATAGTATGGTGCACCCATGGTCACTACATTTCCTATGTGGTTGTAGCCCACTCATGCATAAGCGAAATATCTCCTTTGGAAAGTATACACTATACTCTGAGGAGATATAAACCGTTGCTCCTAAGAATATTCTTCAATTTTTGTCTCTAACAGGCCTAGGTAGCAAACTTTGAATAAAAGGGCGAGCACAATACATCTATGTAGGTCGCAGTGCTACAAGTCCTAACATTTGAATTTTTTTTTTTCATTGAGGTATTTGGCTTATTATTAAAAAAATGGTGCACCTACCTGCACTATCGGTATACAAGGGCGGGCATTAGTGGAGAGTGATAGAATGAACATGAAGTCAGGTCAGCGCATAGTGGCGAATTTGCTAGACGTTTCTAGTAGGACAGTATGAAGTTCGGTTCGGTTGTAGACAGTGAAATTACTGGGTAAGAAGCATGACATCTTATTACATGACCTCTAGAATGGTAACGTGTTGTAACATGAATGTCAAGTGCAAGCTTATAAGCTATAGGCTGTCGTCTTCTTAGCTATTCTATATGCAGTACAGTAGTAAATGTAACATAGTGACGGACAGGAGGTCATTACTGATTAGTAATGTGCACTTTATTGTAGTTAGGTTCAGTACCTATAAACAAGAAATAATAATAATAGCAATACCAGCCTTTCCCCTTTTAAGGTAAGTATACTAATATACAAACTTTCCTGTTTGTTTCAATGTGCAAGTAAAATATTTAATGGCTTTACTATATTTTTTACTACATACTATTACTACTATTTTTACTACATTCTATGTAACTTACTAAATATTTAAAAAAATCTGTTTAAGTATAGTATTAAGTAATCTAAATATATATAACTCAAAGGTGACTGACATAGTGATCTATCAACGCACAGCCCAAAACCACTTGACGGATTGGGCCGAAATTTGATTAATTCTACCCTTGAAGGGATAAAACAGGGGATGAAAGTTTGTATGAAATTTTATCAATTTTAAACCGATTGGGCTGCATGCATAAGGCTACTATGACGTAGGCATCCCCTAAGACAGGATTTTGATAAATTTCACCCCAAAGGGGATCAATTAACACGAGCGAAGCCGCGGGCAAAAGCTAGTTAGTCATATGTGCAGTAGTAAAATGACTTTAGTTTGAGATTCAAGATAATATTTATGAATACAATATACTGTGTGCTGGGATTGAAGTAGAGAGCATAGTGAAAACAGTGTGTTAAACCACTAATCAACCAAGGGAAACATTCCATTTACTATAAAATTAGAGGATAGTTATAGTTGGCTGTAGAATGGTAGTACTTACCGTAATGATCATGCAGTGATTCTCCTTGACAGCACCACAGCATCCAAAGAAGGCAACCACAAATACAATGATGCCCACAATGATCATCACAACAGGCCCAGAGGTGTAGAATTGTTCATCTGTCAAGTCGATGTAGGGAGATGATTTGATTTCTGATGTAATACCAACTATGAGAATGATCAAGCCAGTAATCTGGAAAAAGAATGAATAATTATTAATATGATCATTGATATAATATAATGTGTTCTTTAATATTGTCATATTTGTAATAGAATAAAAAAAAACGTTACAAATGTTTTGTACACTAGTGATGTTTAATGTGTATAAATTAAAAAAAAAAAATGATGTTTGATGTTTTATTTTATTTTATTTATACATATATGTAGGTATATTTGCCTATGTTCTGACAAAAATAGTAGTGAAAACAAAGGTTGTGTGTTACAATGCATAGTCTGTTCTTTTTTAATATAATCATCTGTCATCATCATGTCTCTTATCGCTTATGCGTCATACTCATGAACGGGTGCTTCTCGGATGAATCTTTCGTTTTGATATGGCTGGTTTCATCACTGGAGATTTAGAGATATAAATTCACATACAGTTATTTATGTGTCGACTAGATTTTAAATTACGATATTTTGCTTCTAAATCGGCGTAACTAGACTCGACCTCTACAACCACAAGAATAAGCGTTTTCATTAATCTAGCTGTATTGGTTTATTGCTAATTCGCCTCCTAAAATCTGTAATATTCCACCAACTCTGATTTTCAAAAATTAATTATTAATAATAAATTATTTTTATTTTTTAGAAAATTAAACCTAATTATACCCACAATAATAGTAGCATAAAAAATACTTAGTGAGTCGCCAACTATTGAATGGGTACATGCTACAGTCAAATTTATGAATAATTTGACTAGATAAAGTGGTTATTGACCCTACTGAGAGACTATAACATGAAAGACATCAGTTTATTCAAGAGTTACGCTCAAACTGAATATCATTATTTGCTTTCAGCTTAAGTCTTACATAATAAATACAATATTTGATGAATAGTTGGTAATACTTAACAAAATGTACAGATTTCTCAGACCTCCTAAATATATACATACAAGTTTCCTACTTTCCTTTGAATCAGTCAAGTTAATTTGGAGGAGTTTTGTTACAAACTCTGTAACATAAGAATTTTATATATTAGATGTGTATATAAAACGCAAGTTCAGAGTATTGTACATAGCTCAATAAACAAAGAAATTGTTTTTGAATGGCTGGCATTTTTAGATAGAATTCTGAAGTAGTTTCTTAGTTACAAAATTTCAGAAACAAATTTAAAAAGTTATTTAGTCATGTTGAGTGTGCATCAATGTTTTTTAAGTACCACATCTAATAATGCCACTCTAATAGTGCCAGCACTCTGGAACAGTCTATGAACCAACAAAGGAAAGGATATTTTAATCTTATATTTTTCTAAGGTTTCTTACTTATTTGCATTTCTTCTAAATCTACTTTAAACATTAACAGTAGAAAATAATATATTTTTTCAAAAAGTATTCCCTTTTCGTAACATGAAGAGGGGGGTACATATAGGTAATCTTTAACAACACCCAGGAAATTGTGATTATGAACTACAGTTAATGAAACACTACTAATAATTTTACTACAAAACATATTCATAATACAAAGAAATCAATGACAAATATAATTACAACACATTCAAAACACATAACAACAATGAGACAGATATATAACTATTGTCATTACATATACTTATATAGAGTGTTTTCATGAGTCACATTTAACAGGGTAGTGATAAAATCATGTGTAATACTTGTTCTAGATAAGTTACAGCTATTTATGGTAGGCATCTAACCCAAGCCAGATATTTTCATTCATTATGTATGTTTTTATGTTTAAATATAATTCTTCTTGTATATGCGAGATGGTAAATATACTTTACCATTTTCCATAAAATTATAGTATTTATTGGCAAATGTTCGATCTTTCGTAATTAGTTACAAAAATGTGGGTAGATGCATGGTGGAAACATTAAATTTATTATTCCCAGACGTGCAATTATGCATTTCTACATGATTTCGTACAATAAGGACGAGTGTGGAAATTGTGTCTATTATGAAATTTATTGATTCTACTTACCGCAAACAGAAGATTAAAGAGGAAAAGCAGGTATTTCACACAAGACATACCACCGCCCAGTGCCATTGTGGTTATTGGTTGATTCTAGTCCAAATTAAATATTACAATCTGAAAAAAAACTACATTTGTAATTCGAGTCAAATTGCGTTGCATCGATTTGCGTTGCACAGAATAGACAGATGGAGGAAAAATGTTCAGAAATATTATGTAGAAAAATAATCGTTATTCGTCTATATCAGTTATGTTGTTTTTATTTAATATTTATATTTAAAAAACAATAGTAATAAATGCTTTGTCTATATTTACTTACATTATATATGATCACTTTTAACAAATACAAAACACGCAACCCGTCGCGATCGAGCCAAACGAAAACATAATAGTATAAAGTTGCCAGGATCCAAAAGAAAAATATTACAATACACTGCAATGTAATATTTTGATATGGTACTATTATATAAATTCGTAAATATATTTTTAAATAAAAATAAATACAATTATTGTTTACGTTTGTATTATTAAATAGGATAGTTAGTTATTCATAGTTTTATTATGCGACGTCAAAATCACTTCCGAAGGATTAAATATTACAATTACATAATATATATATATAAGGGGTATTTAATAACGTAGTAGATATAGTGATAATGTTTTTTATAAAAAATCGTTATTCTTGAAAAGACGCTTGTTACCTGGAGTGCCATAATTTACGCAAAACGTAAAAGATGGTAACTACATGGCAACATTGTAATGTGTGCGACTGAGATAGACTGAGAGGGGTTGACTTGAGAGCAAAAAAGTGAGGTCAAATCAGATCAAAGTATAAAATACAAAACTAAGATCAATGTTATTACCTACTATTAGTTAACAATAAAATAGATATAATTAATAACTTTGTAACCCAAACTGACCTTTTGAATGAACCTAAACGTACCATTAAACAGCACGGAATGTGGGGTAGATCTCGATTATTTGAATTATTTATTTCTTATTACTAATTGAAAAAATAGGTTTTTTAATGGATGTTAATAGAATACTGCAGCCGCTTGCGCTAACGGTTTACACTGGCGGGGCACGAGTGGAGGATGATAAGATGAGCATGAGGTCAGGTCAGATAGCCCATAGTGAAAAATTCATCACAAACTTCTATTATTTTCAGGGGGAACCACGTAGGTCAATCACGTATTCATTCTGTTTTAAATCGGAATTGATTGCAGTTACGTTACACTCTAAAAATGAGGATCACAGAGTTTTCTCAAATTTCTATTACATTGCTTTGCTCAGTGGCACATGCGCCTTAGCAAATTTTCAGAGCAATCTTTTAAAATGTATCATACTATCGGATATACCTAATTATCTCAGTGTTAAGGTTATGTCTGCTGAGTTAAATGTTTTCTTTAGTTACAACAGTATAATTGTATACACTGCACGCTGTATTATTGTAACATTTGTAACTAAGTACTATCTAAGTATCTAATACAAATATAATATAAATAATAATATCCCTGGATTATTCACACAACGCGATCTAGTCCTAAGGTAAAAAGAACTTGTGTTATGGGTAATAAACAACTTATATAAATAGTTAGATATATTTTTTTGTAAATACATACATAATATACAAAGAAAATACCTAGACCGATACTAACAATCATACTCATGAATACAAATGTTTGTACAGGAGTTTGCAAACGTGTGGGGATCGAACCCGCGACCATCGAAAGTAAAGCGGTATGCTAAACCGTATGCGAGGCCGTCAAATATAATATAGTAGCTATATATTCCACGGCTTCGGTGGTATAATATATTCACTTGTATTATGGTATCAACTTTACCATTCGGGCTGTATGTTTTCTATGAAATACCACGAGATGTCGCCTCTAGCCACTGGCGTCAAGTTTAGCCTCCACGTCTTGGCAAGCCTTGACAATTCAAGAAGAACACAGTTCGTTCTGTTTCCGTTCATCAGTATCTTCCATATGAGGAGGACAAGTACCTACAACGGGACAAAGACGTTTGTCATTTGGGGTGGACGTAAAGTTTTTCTCTTTCATGCATCTCGTTTGCAGTGATCCTATGATTGACTCCCTTTCTGGCCATATCTTTTTTTACAGTCTGTTCGGACATCGTCGGCTCGCCGGACTGGAGTCCGCGAGCGGTGCTGCGGGGCGCGGCTCGAAGGGGGTGCGAATAGCACCGGACCGACCGGCCGCTCGCGGACTCCTGTCCGGCGAGCCGACGATGTCCGAACACAGTCCATGTAACATTTTAGGTCGTCCTTTACCGCTGTAATCATGGACATCCATACTCATTATTTCACTTCTCGTTCTTTTCTTCAGTCCTGCGAATTACATGCATTCTATCTTATCTCACTTATATTCTGTATATTTATTTATTATCTTGCTTATAGCATAGAATAGAATAATCGACGGCGTCATTGGTCTAGTGGTTTATCACGCCACCTTGCCATGCTACCTCCGATGGTCGCGGGTTTGATTCCTAGCAAGATAGAAACATTTGTACTCATGAGCATATTTGCTGGAATTGGTTTGGTTTAGGATGTTTTCTATGTATTACGTATGTGTTTACATATATATGTATTTGAGTATTTCTATCACTTGTGGGATTAGATGGCGTTGTATGAATTTACTGGGATTAAAAAAAAATATTTACGTAATAATAATTAGTCCATGTTTAATACTTATATGATATAAATACATGTAATATATATGCCTTTTTACAATTAGTGTGTCTACTTTCTTATTTATTTGTCAGACATGTTAGTTTGTATGTAGTATATATTTATTTGGTTCACTTTTATACCTTTTTAACATGCGATAAAATCAAGATATCCACGGATCTGTCAAGATAAACTGTGATATTGAATGATAACAGAGTCCCAGCTTCAATTTCAGTTAGTTATAAATTTTATTTATGTATGTTGGTTATTGGTGACAAGCAAAATGAAATTCAAAGTGCCTAAATTATTAAAATCAGTAAGGTATTCGTTAGGGGCGATAAATGGATTATTTTTGGTAATTATTATTGTTTATTTATGAACTTTGAACATAGACATGTAAAATATGAAAACAATTTTTTAATCTCCATAGTGAGTCACATGACCGCATAATTTGTAAAAAGCTCTTCTTTGGAGTTGTGATTGCTTGGAGAAAATTGTAAAAATATATAATATAATAACAATAAAATCATTTCTAGTTTCTAAAGTTGTAGTATATTACACTTAACATGACTATTTTTGATGGAAAATTTTAATATAATTAGTTAGGACAAACCTACCGCTTTTTCTCAGATTTCATTGATGTTTTGTTTGGGGTCGATATTAGTTAGGACGAACCTACCGCTCTTTCTCAGATTTCACTGGTGCTTTGTTTGGGGTGTCGACCAATTTAACTGAATTATTTTTGAGTTATCGTAGTAGTTTTTAGTACTCAGTAAGAAGTAAATACATGCAGGTATATTTTTTCTACAGTAATAGGTAGTAATGTTAGTAGTATTTATTCATTATAGCTTGTAATTTAAATGTGTTTTTTATTTTAAGTTAAGTTTAAGTTTCTCACGCTTCTTTGGGTGCAAGTTTTCGTACTGAACAACTATTAACATGAGTATAAATTCTTTTAGGCTTATTTTTTATCAGTACCTACTTGAGTGTATTTATAACAATTTAGAATAAATCAAAACAAAATACATCTGAAAGACAATTATTTTTTAAATGCATAGGATACCGCCCCGAAAATATTATCATCATACAAGCGCTTTGTTATGAAATTAGAATTGATTATAAGTGGAAATTCTTTTTACGAAATGTATACGCAAATATCATAGATATCATAGAGAGCATACAACACACTTAGAATAGATTAAGGATGTTGTTTGGGCTCCGTCGGTTCTGTAGCGCATCAGAGATGTTTGCAACATTGCATATATGTGGTTTTCAAGGCATAATGCGGACCAGAACTGCCTCACTGATGTGTAGAATTTGGGGGAGTGCAAAAAGCCTCCTAAACTTTATAACAAATATGTCGGATTGTCCTCTCTAGAGACATTATTGCACTGGACGGACCTAGTGCATTTGGATATGGATATAGTTATATGAATTGAAATAATAAAGATATACTATATATGGAATTTTTATAACATAGTATATAAGTTGTATAATATGGATATATATCTCCTTTGGAAAGTTTACACTCTATCTTGAGGAAATAAAAACCGTCGCTCCTAAGAATATCCTTCAATTCTTGTTCCTGGTCGGTCTAGGTAGTGAACTCTGAAAAAGGGCGAGCACAATAGATCTATGTTGGTTGCAGTGCTACAGATACAAGATACAGATATTGTCAGGTAATAGCCCAAACATCCCAATAAAATAAAATAAAAACAACATAACATTGGACGGATATCCAAAATAAATGAAGAAATAACCTCTAACGATTTCTATTGTAAATACTTACGTATTTTACAGGTGACAGGGATAATAATGCTGATTACTGGAGTTGCAATTTTGGTTCAATACCTGCATTATGAGTTGTTGATTACTGACAAGTTCTTCAGCCTACCACGATTTGCTGTGAGCATTGGCGTTATCATCATTCTGGTGTCCATTCTCGGCTTTTACGGTGCTGTATCGGAGAGCTTCTATTTCATAGCAGCGGTTAGTATGAACAACACTTATCCATTTTTATATATTTTTTTTTTCAATATTTGTTGTGTAACGACACTTTCGTAACTTTGAACACTTCTATAATTTTACCACATTCTGAAGCAGTAATGCGCAGGGAGTACCCTGCTAGTATTATATTAATATCAGCCAATATTGCTACTAATACCACAGATAAGATAATATTATATATGAATATATAGTTGCAAAAATTTATGACCAAATCTAGGTATATCTATTTATGTAGGTAACTGTAATAGCAAACAATCAGATACCTCAACTAGGACTGTGGTGTTATAACCACGTGTCCTGTAATTTTATTGCTATTGTTTAGTCTTTTAGTCATAATAATATCTAATAAATAAAAGTCTTGTGTCACGGTGTTTGTTACCAAAATCTTCCGAAACGTCTTTACAGATTTCTATGAAAGTTTGTGTAAATATCGGGTAGTTCTGAAAATCGGCCAATATATTTTTCATACCCCTCAATGATAAGGGTGACCCTTCCTTAAATTTTCTTTTTTCATTATTTGACTATTTTTTTGTATTTTATTTTATTATAATTTACCATTGAAAATATATACAATTTCAAGTTTTCACGCTTTTACCATGAAACCCTATTTTTTATGCAATATATATACAATATACTTTAATTTTTATGGCAAAACGATTGTCGGGACAACTAGTAATAAATTATAATTCATTATTTTACTGAATTTAGTATGTTGATCTTCTGCATTCTTTTCTGCACAACTCGATTAAGAGACAGGCTGACCAATCTCTATGTATACCAATAAGTTTGTTTGTTTTGTTACGTTTGTTTAAGCTTCAAGTGTAACACGTTCTTGTTCGTTTTTGTTACAGCCCATCCACTTCTGTCCTGATTTTTAAATCACAAATATGTGTTATTAATTCTTTTGACAAGACCTCTATTCTCTATAATAACCTAACGAACTAAAGGGTGCAGATCTTGCTGCGAAGTAGTTCTTGTAGTTAATTTCTCTTTTCTAAGAATATCCAATTCAATTCTTGTCCCTGAAAAAGGGTGAGCACAATACATCAATGCAGGTCGCAGTGCTACAGGTCTTAACACCTGACAGTAGCCCAAAACCCTTAATAACAGTAAATAGTTTCTCTTTGGAAGCGTTCTTCTGTACGAATTCATTTGCATTCACTGCATTACCCGTCATCCGAAATACAGATTACAAAGCAAACTGCTTGGCGCTTGGCTTGTAATAGGTAAGATATACATACCCACAACGACGAAAGACTACTTTATACAAAGTGTACCTTGAAAAATTAAGTACAATGTATTTTAATATCAACTTATAATAGAGGGCTATTATTACGACTTTAAGTATTAATACTTTCTGGCAATTTGTTTATCATCTGTTCTTTGTGTGATTCAACATATTGTGATAAGGAATTCTATAGTAGTATTTTATTTGTGTCGTAAACTAAGTTTTGCCTTTGGTCGAAAGTCAACATTACATACCTACTTATAATTTTACCTACCAATAATCTGTTATAATCTCCAAAATCATTAATTACTTTAACTGTACCAAAATGTATATTTTACTGACTGGTAGAGAGATCCATCAAGCATTATGCCCGCCATTTATACAATTTTGTGTGCAAAAGAATAAATAAGTAAATACATTTTTTTAAAATACATACATAATATACATGGTAAATACCCAGATGGAGGGGAAAAGGGGATTGTTAGTAATGTGGATTGATGATCTTATTTCTAGCAATGTCAGGTTGACCTCCACGCGGTTCCCCTGGGAACCATCTTGATAAATTCTTGGTGAATTTGTTACGATGGGCTAACTGACCTGACCTCATGCTCATCTTATCACCCTTCACTGGTGACTCGCCAGCGTAAACCGTTAGCGCAGGCGGGAGCACCATTCCATTATCATTAATAAAAAAATACCCAGATCGATACAAGCCATCATAGTCATGTATACAATATTTGTACCGTGCGAGGAATCGAACCTGCGACCATTGGAAGTAAGGTGGTGTGCTGAACCTCTAGACCACCGTGGTGTCATATTATACTATTAAAAGATGTGTACTGTTACATGAAAATGATATGTCAACGTGTGTTTTGTTTCAGTATGTGGTGTTATTGATTATCGTGCTAATTTTCGAGATGTCAGTAGTCATAGTCAGCTATGGTCTTAAAAATAACGCAGCTTCAGAGATAAGGGCGACAATGGAAGAAAGTAGGCAGCTATATGGTTCTCGAAGGGAGATTACAATAATATGGGATGATATGCAAATGAATGTGAGTAAGAAATATTTGTATTAATAGACAGATCTCTCATTACTCAAAACTGTAATTTACGAAAAAGAATACACAAACGAAAATAAATATTTTAACATATGAATAGTATATTTTTTTTATAATAGATAATTTCTGGTACCCCTATGTTTATTATATGGGTTTTTTTTTTGCATTTATCATAACAAAGTGTATTTAATTGATATTGATTTAGTTTAGAGGTTAATAAAACCTGAGCACTTGGCGCTCTCTAGAAACCTGCGCCCGGGTGCGGCTGCATGATCTCCCGGGTAAAAACGCCTCTGAAATAAATCTTAAATATAAAATTCTCCTATCACTGTTTTAGTTACTATATACCCCCGAAACGGCTTAACCGATATTTATGAAATTTTATATGCATATTCAGTACGTCTGAGAATCAGCTACTGTCTATTTTTCATACCCTTAAGTGATAACGGTAGTCTACCCCAAACATTTATTTTTTATTATTTGAATTTGTTTAAATGTCAAATATGAAGACAGTCAAATGTTGTGTAATTTACTTATTAGAATGTATAGGTATATTTTGTACTTATAATAATAATAATAATAATCTCAGGACAATTCACACAGCGCCATCTAGTCCCAAGTTAAGCTAGCTAAAGCTTGTGTTATGGGTACTAGATAACTGATATAAATACATAGATTTTTTTTTTCGTAAATACATACATATTATACATAGAAAATACCCAGACCGATACAAACAATCATACTCGTGAATACAAATGTTTGTGCCGTGCGAGGAATCGAACCCGCGACCATTGGACATAAAGCGGTGTGCTGGACCGCTATACCACCAAGGTCGTCAAATGTGGCATTAAAAATACATATAACCAATTTTTCCCCCTTTGTTAATACTCATACTAGTATTAACATCGACATACAGCTATGACGCGCTCGTCATCCTACTGCGGCTGCGCGCCCGCCGCGCATAATTATGCATTTGTGGAGCATTACGTTTTACGCGTGAAAATGGAAAAACAACAAAATGGCTTCTTCTGCAGAAATACTGATTAATTGTTGTGCTCTTCATTATTAATTATTTTATACTATTTATGTCCTAAATTTACTTTTATTATAATAAAATACCTATATATACACAACAAACCTGAATGTAAATACAGCCTCTAGTAACGTACCTAACACCTACCCTACCTATTTTTTAACAACGATTTTAATGTAAAACAACGTTTTCGGGGTCAGATAGTAATATATATAAATGCGACAGTTGCTCACACTAAGGTGGGTTGTCAGTTTGTTTGTCATTCACATAAAAAAATCCTTTAAATTTCTTTCCAGTTCGAATGCTGCGGTGTAGCCGGTCGGCATGACTGGAGTAATAGTCAAGTTCCAGTGAGTTGTTGTTACATCGAATACGGCACTGTATCCCCTTTTGAATGCGGTTTGTCGAATGCGTATACTACAGGCTGCGCTGCCGCCCTCGGCGAATGGCTGAGCTACAAGGCTCGTGCTCTGGCCATTACTTCGTTGATTGTTACCTGTTTACAGGTTCGAATTTTTTAATCTTAATCTTAATAATATAATAATAATTTTTATTTCATACAACATGATCCATTGTGTTAGTAACAGCTTAATGACATAACTTATCCTATGTTAGTAATAAAATATATAATAAAATAAAAATGTAACTTTTAACATATTACCTGTCCTACCCAGTGTCTTAGAATGGGACAGTCTACTTTACAAGCAATTGTCTTCAGGACACTGTTGGAACTCGCCCGCACTCTGCCTAATAGGGACGTTATTCACTTCCGCCGTATAGCATAGAAATCGTCTGTGCGCTCTTGCGCAAACATATGTGACGCGCTGCAGTGGCGGGGCAGCCCCAACAGTGCCCGAAAGGCATTGTTATATTGAACGCGAAGAGCATTGTAGGTTTTTTGAGTATAGTTGACCGCATTATAAACGCAAAAGTTTGTGAGTATGCGTAGTTACTTTTTCCGCAAAATCTACTGAACGGATTTTAATGAAACTTTACAGTAACATAACTTATACATCAGAATAACATATAGGTTATAATTTTAATAAACATTATGTACAATGGGCGAAATATAATGATAAATGTCATCATGATCATCGTTTAAATGTCATGTATGAGAGTAATTGTGATGCAGACGAAGTCGCGCGGATCAGCTAAAAATGTATTCCTTTATAGACTTTCTACAAAGTGGTCAGTGTAGATACACCAATTTTAATAACAATTTCCTCTAACGGGCCCTATGCTAGGGCCCGCTTGGCCTGCGCAATGGTTTATGAAGCATGATAAGATGAAACCCATTTTCATCTCATTGTGCTTCACTGGTGCCCCGGTAGTGGTTAAGGCAGTTAGCCCATTTTTACATATTCACTAGGAATTTGTCACGATGGTTTCCAGAGAGAACCGTATGGTGGTCAACCTGACATGTTATATTACTAGCAATGGGGTCATCTGTCCACATTACTAATTATTCTTTTATCCCGGAGAATATGAGTACCTATTGTATTGTGTGTTGGAGTTGTTGAACTGTATTTTCGTATTTATATCGTTTGGGTCATTGTGGAAGAGGAGTACCTATCCCATGGGGCGAGACACGAGGTGTATCGTCTCTCGACGGCGCGATATCTGTTGTTCATGTATTATATTTATACATATTGATAACCATTTTTTTTTCTTGGCCAATTCACTCGCGCTGTATATTACCAAGCAACTTGCGTTATGGGTTCTAAACAATTGATATAAATATATAGATTATTTTTGTAAAGACAAGCATAATATACATATAAAACTTCCAGATTCAATCATCATCATGTTCATGAATACAAATATTTATACTGTGCGAGGATGCGATCCTTCGGAAGTAAAAGCAGTATGCTAAACAGTTGGACCACCGAAGCCGTCGACTTACCTTATTTGCCATCGCAGTTACATAATAAAAAATGTAGAGTTTCAGACTTCAGACACTCAGAGATTCCTATACGACGTTTGATAGTGGCGGGTTCAATACAATACATTTTGTATTCATAACTGTGATTGTTCGTATTGTTCTGATTACTTTATATGTGTATATTATATATGTATTAAAACATTTCAATCAATTGTTTAGTACCCATAGTATAATAATTCTTTACTAAAACACTATTTTGCTGTTTTACTGGGAAAAGAGTAAAAAGATCCTACGGACACAGCTGCAGTAAGGAGGTAGTAAAATATCCGTATTGTATAATTGTTTCAGGTGTTAATAACAGCAGCTGCAGCATGGCTCGCCTACAGATCTAAGTACTCAGGGGTTGAATTAGAATCATAAAATAAGTACTAACTATTTCTACTACTGTTTTTATCGATGTTTGCATGCTTTAGGATGATAGGACAGCGTTTTGATAATTCTAGGATCAACAAGATGTCATGTGTAGCGAAATAGTCACGTTATAAGTGTTTAAGTGAACTTATGTTGTAAAAGGAAAGAATTTCTTTGTTTGTTCTCGACAGATTCCACTTCCTTGAACTATTTTAAATATTCTTTTTATACAATTTCAATAGTCATCCGGAATGGTAATCCGCGTGTGTCACATGATGACATGATGTCTTTGTTGTTCTTGTAATAGCAATGCCTGTCATTTACTGTCAGGTGTGACATCAACTTGTTTGCCATTAACCAAATGGCAATCAAGATACTTGACCCACCAACAAAGGTTTCAAAATGAAATAGTTTACACATTTTTTAATGTAATATATTAAAGAATATATTTGTAGATTTCATTTTACAGAGGTTCTAACTTATACCTCTACAATAGTTAAGTAAAGCTGATTTAGTTGGTATTATATTTATATATATACTTATTATTTATGACTCCGTGTCTTGATATGTCTACTATAGCTATAAAGTAAATATAATTTATGAATAAATAAGGTATAATTTAATTGTATTTTTATTTACCTATCTCTTAATTAAAAAATATTTTACTACGAATGAAATGGCATAAATGAATTTTCTAAAATTTCCTTACAGACCTTAATGCTTAATTATTTACTTGTAAATTTAAACTAATTAGAAATATTAAATAATAAATATATTATATTTAATGATAATATCCCTATCTATCCTATTAAATATGAAACACACTCGCAATCTGCACGTACAAACTTACTCAGAATGGAAATAGACTAATAAAGATGATAAATATAGATAAAAAGATAACATATTTACGAATAAAATACTGATAGGTAAGTATCCAATCAATCCAATGACTCGTTTATAAAAAAACATTGTAGAAATAGAAATCACGTCACCGAACATTCTTGTGAATGTAAAGAGATTAAATTTTAATATAATTTAATTGGTATTTAATAAAATTTCATAGCAATGTCATTGAGTCATGTAATGCTACAGGAGCCCTGGGCGAGATAACACATTTGTTTTCTTATCAAGATTAATGTATAGTGATAAAAATATCTAGCTGAAACAAAACGGCGCAGCGCTCGTGCGTGTTCAACGTATCATTAGAGCAATATTACTGAATATTAAAAATGTGGTCCAAAATATTTGGTACAGTGAAATATATGTTAGTTGGTATAAATTTTCTATTCCTGGTAAGTATATTTATATCGTATCACAAATCTGAAGGTAATGCATACATTTGTTGAACGTGTATTGAAAATTACTTCATGTGACTGGTTTTCAGATAACGGGTATAATAGTATTGTCTGTGGGTAGTTCTGTGCAGACAGCATACAATGATTACCATCCATTCCTAGCTGACAGATTCTTCTCATTACCAGCGTTTTGCATCGCAACTGGCATCATTATAATATTAATAGGATTCATCGGTTTCTATGGAGCTTACACGGAAGACTCTAGAGTCATTCTCACGGTGAGTTTTTCTTAGGTTAAGATTATGTTTGACGTAAAATCTTTCCTCTCGAATCCACTGTATTATCATACATTGACTGCAAGAAATCTCTTTCAGAGATAACTAAACGTTTATCCCCTTTATCATTAATTAACGTCATTACTTTGAGTGCAAAAAAGACTATATCACATAATGTGTACACAAATATAGTATGGAATTATCACAGGAATAAACAATATATTTATAACAAAGAAGTGTTATCGAAATGCGTAATAAGCGAAGATGTCTCCAAAATTATAGTATGAACCATTTATTATGTCAAGGCTGGCAGAGATTTATTAAGTATGTTTACTTAAAATAAAAAAAAACTGTCGAATTTTTTTCTCTCTATCCTTATATCAAAAGTTAAAATACATTTTAAGGTAGCATTTTGATGCATTCGATATAATACTATTGTGTTATCTGTGCTAATACTTTCAACATGGATAACTTCAGTGCTCCACGTGTCCCTACGTGGAGCATTAGTATGATGAAGGATATAGTATCGTAACCCACCAAATAGTCTATAGCGTACTCCTACCATCTATGATATGCCTGTGGATTCAATTTTAGACGACACTAGAATATGATTAACTTAAATTTTGACCTAAATCTCCGGTGTTACAAATATCGACTATAAAGTAATGAACTTAAGTGTGGCCAATTAACGGTAGTTATTTAAAAGAATAGCTGTTATTCTTTCAAGTAATTAGAAGTATAAATAAGTTTATAATTTAGGTAATTAAATCTGATAATAGTACAAATTCACTAACTTTTCAGTTGAGTAGTTATCAGGTATAATGGTTTAGCAGCATTCACTTGCTTAGTTCTACCTGTTCTACCTAGCTGTGGTTATGTGGCTAGTATTTACATTTTGTACCAAAAAGGTTCTAAACGAAAGTCCAGAAGATTTAAATATTGTGGTCATAATTCTCTTAGAAATAATGAACTCATCATGAGTTGTTTCTAAGAGAAATAAGACTATATATATATATTTGTATTAGTTTTAAATTTGAATGGAGTAATTGACGTAACAAACTTGTACATAACTTGTACTGCAGTGACTAATGGTTTGAGAAAGAAATTACGAGTAGGTGCAGCTGATAACCATGAACAATTATAATCCTGTACATTGTCAATAACAGTGTTTTTAGTATACTTTTAAGAAATAATTTTGTTGGTTGGTTTACGCAATTAAATAAGAATGAATTGAATTTTAATTAAAATTTATTTAACGTAAGTTATGGTTATGTAACAACGTCGTTCGTTTACTTATAAGTCGCATAGTATCGGAAATTTTTCATGCGCTGTTGTAATTATTCCATAATCTTGAAAGGACATTAAGAAGCAACTGTATTAGATAGATAGTTATGAGAAAATGACCTGGATTTGCTCTTTCAAAGATCTGCGTAGTCTAACTCCCAAATTTACTTTCATAAAAGTAGGTATGTTGAATAGTTGACAGAGATTCAGGAGTTAGTTTATTTGTCATTGTGTTATATTCAATGATTAATATACGTACTATGACATATACAGTTATGTAAACATTATTTTTCAACGTGTGCCTAAATTAGGTAATCTATATTTATATTAGTCCATATATCTTTTAACAAAATTTTGATTAAACCGAGAACTAATTCGAGGAACTCCTATCCTCGAATTAGTTGTACACCTACTTATTTGATAACGAGGGAGAGATAATAGAATAATATTGAAAAAACTTACTCAGTACTTAAGTTTATTTATTTGCTTATTTATTAAATAAACTTAAATTTAAGTAGTTTTGATCACAAGTGAGTCACACTTCATTTTCTTTTCTACCATTCATTCGGAAAGCAGTTTCAGCACGAGAAATTTCTGTTAGGAAGAGGGAATACAAGAGTTGCTCTCTTGGCTTTATACACAAGATGAAACGTTAAATCATCAGTTGTTATTAATAACAATAATATAACTTCTCTACTATATTAAGTCTCTACCTTTTGAGTGAGTCTCTAGCCTACTATCATGATTTGTCGTCCAATATGTGTCAATTTATTTCTGCCTTAGACTGGTAATAATCTAAATTAATTCCAAAAACGCTAGTAATCCAATGTGAGAGATGTAACCTACATCTCTCACGTTGGATTCAAATATCCTTTATCAGGAGAATTGTTGGGCTGTAAAGTGTCCATCAGGCCATCGACAAATAATAATGCCACTACTACTCCATCTTTGGAATTATTGCCGGATATATTATTATTTCCATATTTTTTGTGAGGGGTACATAGGTACTCCCATCGTAATATGTGAATCGTTTCATAGACTAGTTAAACATAGACGACATTACGTCGCTATTAACGAGTTGACGTTAATTTTAGCCATCATTGTGCAATACGTATGTGTCTGTAGTCATAACAAACTTTAAAATAAACGAATTTAAATTTTACCCGGTCGATATAAGACATAAATTTATACATACACTGTCTTGTGAACGATGTTTACTATTCGTGTTGTGACGGCATATTTTAGGGTTATAAAACACTGGGCTTTGATGTAGTGTATTGAAGATAAATGGTACACAAGCCTAAGGTAAATTTGTTTTATAAAAATCCGACATCAATCGTGACTATATTTGAGTAACATGGAAGTAAGACTTACAGAAAAAGGTATAAAAAGAAAAAGAATATTCGAATTCCGATTAAAATTCATAAAGATACAGACTTATTGAAATCAGTTTTAGAATTACACGTTACTGAAAAACCAGATTTTCACGACAAAAAAGAACCATCTTTAGCTCCTTCACATAAGAACCATAAAGATGGTTCTTCTTTCTCTCCTTCACATGAACAATTCAAGACAGTAGGAAAATTTTAAAAAATATGCTAGGCATTGGAATTTTGACAAATTTTCAGAATAATGAAAAAATGCTTTTATTTTACTATATTTAATAATAAATCGAGTAGAGCAGAACGTAAATATTTAGGGCAAAATTTCGATGTAAAGTATTGGTATCACGCTTGGTTGAGTGGAGATGCAAGGTCTCTGAATAGAGATAGAACGAATACAAAAATGCAATCAGACCTCAATAGCAACGCATGAGATAACCATTTGTGAGCCATGTTACTCATGAGTGTTACAAGATGAGGAGGTGGTGATGGTTCAAATATTTTTATTTATGTACTACCTGTACCCGTGGTTTCACCCGTGTGATATTTATAGTCTATATGTTATTCTAATGTATAAGCTATATTACTGTGAAGTTCATTAAAATCCGTTCAGTAGTTTTTGCGTGAAAGAGTAACAAACATCCATCCATGCTTACAAACTTTCGATTAAAACTTCAATACACAAATAAAAGTGCACATGGCGGACTTAACACCCAGATATTCTCATAGTTAACCATAGGGCAAACAAAAAATTATGTAGATAGATAAATATTTTAATTTGATTTTTTAATTTGGAATCTTCAGCGCGCATAATAGAAATTAAAAACATAATAAAAACAGTAGCCTGTAACAATAATGAACGTGGACGGTGGAATTATCTTTAGTATGTTAAATAAAGATACTATGGATCTGATTAAATATACATACATATGTGATAATGTTTATGCATCATATATATAATACATATTTAATAAATAATTACACATTTACACAATATTTTATAAATATACCAATCGAAATCAAAGAAAATAAAATATATTTATTTGAGATACAAAAGAATCATAGCATCATAAGAAGCAAACATATAACGAGACATATATAATATTATAAATGTATATATTGTTTATAGGATCGGCAACGCACACGTGACACCCCAGGTGTTTTAGGCCTTCATAGACTACGGTAACCGTTTACCATCAGATAAGCCGTATGCTTGTTTGTGATGTACGTGGTATAAAAAGAACTACTAATTAATCTTTTAACAAATACAATTGTAACCAAATTGTTTACTATTTAGCTTTGTGTCTAGGCTGTAATGCCCAAACGCTGATTTTCAGTTGTCCTAGCGGGAGTAGTACATGGCTTTATGTAATGAATAAATATGAGACTGTTTGTTACTTTAGCTACGACGTCGACAGTTGATAATGTTGTTGATATCCTAACTGGGATTACAGTCGTGATGATATAAAACATATATACATACACATAGATAATATACATATATTATTAATATAGTAAGACTTTATGAGTTACCACTAGGTAGACTGACAGTTTGTTTGACATTCTAGTAGGCACATAAAAACACTATGGGAGTATTGAACAAAATATTTGAAAACCCTTATCAGGGATTACAGTACTGTAACAAATATAAATATGTAGGCGTATATGTGTCTAGGTACATACATATACATAAATACTGATTGGAATTCATATTTTTTTAATATTCGGAAGTACATATGAGTATGTCACACGATATCTTTTTTTATTGTCTTTGATATATAGAAAAGAATAATATACTATTTAATCTAATAAATGATTAGCTTATAATTAAAATAACTTCACTATCATTTAAATCCTATTTTATATAAAAAAAAACTATACGTCTGTGTTTGTCAAAGAGATTTTTATGGTTGATCAAATGTGTTGTTGCCATATAACTCAATATCGCTATTAAAAAATAAAGGTTGGTGATAGAAGGGTGAAAATTTGGGGTTGTATGTATTTTCAAAATGCTACATTATAAAAAAAAAAATTGTCCTAAAAATTAAAAATAACAAAGAGGTGGACAACCCTTATCACTTAGGGACATGAAAATTAGATAGTAGCCGTTACTTCGTTCCTTTAGACCGAGAGAAATACTTTAAAAGATATTTTTCACCAATCATACTGGATAATACAAATGATTGTGTCGTGCAAGAAGTCGAACCCAGAACCATAGAAAGTAAGCCGGTGTGCTGCTATAGCATACCGAAACCATTAATATATAGCGTGCTTGTACATAATCAACGACATGCATGCATGGCATGCTGAAGGTATACTGTGTCTAAATTACGATGCATCAAAAACCCAGAAACACATGTACGTGTAAACACTCAAAAAGTCCTCTTTTTTTATTAAGTCTGGTAAAAAAGGTGTAATTTTTAATTTTCAGTATGTAGTCTTGCTGATTCTCATGTTCGTGTTCCAACTATCGGCATGTATAGCTGGCTATGCACTAAGAGGTAATACTTTAGCTCTGGTGCATCGGCAACTGTTTGATACCTTAGAGCTGTATGCTGCAGATGACGTCGTTATACAGAAGGTGTGGGACGAAGTGCAGGCCGATGTAAGTCATCACACTTCATTTATGTATAATAAAATATTAAAACTTTGAATTTCGAACTATATAGTTATTTATTTTCTAGCATTTATGTTAAGATATCTTTTATTGTCTTCTTTATTTTACTATACAAATTGCCTTGTAATACACTGCACCGAAATAGCAAAATACGCAGGCAACACGTCATAATTCTTGAAATTGGTGAGGAATGCCTACCAGGAGTGGTGTGATTTTAGGTCTTGCAATATTCCACCAAGTAGGTCGACAAATTGTATGCCATTTTAGTTATATAAAATATCATTTTCTACTCTTACAGTTGAATAGAGTAACTTAATAGAGGAATCTTTATTAGGTTATTTACAGCCCTGACCAATTTTATAGCCAATGGTCCGATATGGGTATAATTTTAAGAAATGGGAACAATACTGTATATACATCGAATGTATAAGGTTATTTAGGCGTTCTAGGCTACGGTAATCGTTTGCCATCAGATGGGCCGTATGCTTGTTAGCCACCATTGTAGTATATAAAAATAGAAACCGTTTACAAAGGCATACCTTACATACGTGCAGATGTTTGATTACGCTTTCTTTTGTTTAAGATATTTCTGATAATTATTAACTTTTAAATTATTATTATTATTATTATTATGCTCTATAAATGGTATTTTATTGTATCCCTAGTTTTCGTGCTGTGGTGTAAGCAACGCCACCGATTGGTTGATACCCCTCAAAACAAATGAAACTGGTGGTTTGCCGGTCAGTTGCTGCCCTCATGTGTACGGTACAGTCCAGAACATCAACTGCACCATACATTCGAATGAATCTTATAAAGTTGGATGCTCAGATGCTTTTGGTAACTGGGTGAAGGCGCACGCAGGATCTATAGGAGTGGCTGGTATATTCTTAGTATTATTACAGGTAAGAGCACCTACATATTCTTAGCATTTAAGTAAAGCATTTATTGTTACAGAGTAATTACATGTGTTCTATACAATGGCAATAAACAATACCTACGATTCGAAAACTTAGTTACATAAACAAATTTTGGTGCATAAATACGCCATAATTTTTTTAGACGATATACATATATCGTCTAAAAAAATTGTTTCATGGTGAATCTACTTGAGTGTGTGAGTGAATGATTAATGGTCTCTTCCCAACCTTCATAAGTCACCAGCATGAGTACCTCTGTCTCACCTATCTCTGCTGCTAAGCAGCTTTCATAGTAAGCTGAGTTTTGAGGAAGCTGAAGGAGTAGATATGTCTGTCTGTAAATTATTTTTTAATTCATTTTATGGTAATTGCGTAAGATTCTATAATAAACTGCCAGAATCTACGCTAATCTGACAGAGAGGCAATTCAAATTTTATATTAAACAAATGTTATGTGAAAAAGCCTATTATAGGATAGATTAATATATAATTGCAACATAAAATTAAATGACGAATCTCTCGAATTTATAGAATCTACTGTCTTTCTAGGAATCACATTAGATAATAAAACACAATGGGGTGCACAAATTCAAAGTCTTGCAGCGAAACTGAGTTCAGCAGCTTTTGCCGTGCGTGAGGTTAGACAGTACACTGATACTGATACTGCTAGATTGGTCTATTTCAGTTATTTTCATAGTTTACTCTCTTATGGAATATTATTATGGGGAAAAGCGGCAGATATTAAAAATATATTCATATTACAAAAACGTGCCATTCGAGCGATCTACTGTATGAAGAGTCGTGACTCATTAAGAGAGAAATTCAAAGAGGCAAATATTCTCACCGTTGCTTCTCAATTTATATATTCAAATATCCTATATGTTCATAAAAATCTTGACTTATTTCCAAAAAACAGCTATATTCATAATATTAATATTAGATTTAAAGACAAACTTGCTGTCCCCAAGTATCGTTTAGAAAAAGTCAATAGGTCTTTTATGGGAATAGGTATAAAATTTTACAATAAGATACCAAAGGATATATTGGAATTACCCTTAAATAAATTTAAAACATCTGTTAAATCATATTTACTGAGCAAGGCCTATTACTCACTAAACGATTACTTGAATGACGAGCGTGCATGGCAATAGTTTTCATGTTCGGGATTTTCATTTAATGTTAGACATAGACACCTACATAAATACCTATGCATTGTAAATAAACTGGATTTAAAAAAAAAGTAATTCAATTGAATTTCTTGCCAGTTCTTCTCAATTGGATCTATATGCCGAACTGGACGGTAGGGAAAAAAATTCTAATGTAAAAACTTGACGTTCATAAGCGGCTAAAATGTCCTACATGAATAAATGATTTTTGAACTTGAATTTGAATATAGATAATAGCAATATATAGCAAGAATAAGTTTAAATAAATTATAAGTTTGCGGATAACGTTATAATTTATTTTTCATACTGCTTTCTTGATATATGATAGCGTAGCGGCTTTTGTATGGATTGCTGCATGCATCCTCATGTAAAGTGCGAATACTGTAACTATCATATAGTAATTTTTGTAGCTGTGACGTGGTCGAGTGGAATGAGTAGTCATGCTCACTAAAATATCCAGACATGTGGCGGCGTGGTGGGCCGGGTCATTGGGCTCTCTAAAATATGGTCGAGCGCAGTGATGGCTGGCTCATCCGTCATATTCGTGAACGAGTGCTGCTTATAAGGACTGGTCTGCTCTTATCACTAAGACTGATTTAATCTTATTTTATATTTATATTAAACCCAAAAAAATTGTGCTGGTTGGTAGTTTGTATTCACACGTTTCGACTTGTAAATGTAAACTTACAAGGATTATTTAAAAGAGCAACACACAAGTTTCTTGCTCGTTCTTTTTGTGACGAGACAGCTTTCCGAACGAGTGGTAGATAAAAAACAAATTGCTATGACTATTCAAAAGTGCTTAAATTAAGTTTATTTGAATAAATGATTTTCTATTCTATTATATTTATTTTAAATTTGAACGTGGATGAATGGAAAGAGAAAGGACGACGAAAAAAAGATGTATGGATTGTGTGAAAGATGATTTGTATAAAAGAAAAGCATTTATTGACTCTCCTTTCATACAAATCAATGAGAGGCAATAAAAGAAAACTATATACTGCGCCGACCCCAAATAATGGAATAAAGGCAAGGTAATGATGATGAATGTTTAAAATTGACGTAGTCATTATAATCTTTGTAATTAATTACACACGAGGGGTAAAGACCGTTATAACATGGTAACGTCTATGACATAGTCACTTCCCATCTAGTGGGAACATAAAAGAAATGACGTTTTGACTAAGTTACATAGTCGTTACCTACATTACATATACTTTACTATATACATGTAGTAGTTACATAGTCACGGGTAGACTAAACAACGATTACAGAATTGTATAATACGAATAATGCAATTTCTGGCAATATTTTGAGGAGTATATTGTCTAAATTACCAATTATAATAGAAAGTGAAATATATAATGTATTACGGTCATTAATGAAAATGTTTGGATAGAAGAATGTTAATAGTGGATGGTTTTGGGTAAACTTTTGTAAGTCTGTTAATATATATACTCGATAGTTTCTAATAAAATTTCGTGCACTCCGAAATAATATCCTGGATACTTTTTACCTGAAATTACGTGATCAATGTGGGATACAGGCAGTTCTAATAATTTATATGTATTTTGTAGGCGGTCGTGGTGGGAGCAGCTTGTTGGATGGCGAAGGTAGCTCGCGAAGACCAGTCGGCATATCCGTAAAGACCCCGTGAAGCTGATCACTGCCAGGCCGACCACTCTGCCCGACCCGACTGAGAAGGGAACGCGAAGGGTTTTTTAATTTAACGATTGAAAATTTTGTGTTGTATATAATAACTGCTAATTACTATGTATGATTTAAGTATAATAACATTGTTTAAGTAAATCACAGTTAATGCTAATATATACCTTGTATTATATTTATATACTTGGGCAGATTAATATAAATATATTGGCATCGTGTTTCAGTGGGATATTGCTATAAATATAATATTAATCTTTTTTACTACAAAATTGAACAGTGTGTCCCAACCTTTTTTGTGAAATGCCCCACATTAGCCTTTCTAAAAATATTATGCCCCCCTCCCCTCCCAATCTAAATACCTCAATATGTAATATTTGTTTTTTTTAAAATGAATTGTTCAGTTAAGGAACAAGTAAGTAAGTAAATTTTCAAAACCTATAATGAAAAACTGAATTTAGAATTATAAATAATTTTAATAAAGGTATTTTCTACATTAGTATTTTAAAAATTGGCACCGGAATCTAATATTGCATTTATATGGCCCGCAGCAAATGTATTAAATTCGTGTCGAGTCCATTTTCGAATTGCCCTCATGTGGGACGTAGACCCTACGTTGTGAATCACTGTTCTAGAGTCTATGCAAAATATATGGATGAAAAAAGTATATTTTATGAAAAACAAATACAAGAAGAGAATTACATTCCTTAGCTGTGTTTCTGCAATAAAGAAACACAAAGCGGTGAAAATTAAATGTTTACAACATTAATTTAATTTAATAGTGTAATGGAAATGTTACTAGACTATCTTGTTCATTACTTTTAGTATTAAGGATTACTGTAATTATTTGAAGCAGGAATAGAGTCTTGTAAATATTTATAATTATACTTAATTATAGCTTGATAGAGTGCTGAAAAATCAATAAACCTTAAGTCATCAAAATTTATTCACAATTATTGCATATGTACAGACAAATAAAAAACACAAAGCTAAATAATAAATTTATTTTATTACTTATTCAATAAATCAATTACGCAAATGTTACTTGAATAAAAGTCATCGACGTATTAATAGTCCTACTTACGACTACTAATTATCAATAAAAAAAACGTTTTATTTCAATTAAATTATTTTATTGTACAAGAATAGAATCACTATGAATATCAATTCTTTAGTAATGTATTGTTTAATATTTTTAACACACTGTAATAGATTTATATATCGAAAGTGTAATAGAGAGACCTATTTTGTTAGAACAGTTGCTGACAATTCATCGCTGATGCTGATTGTAATAGATAGGTGTACGATTTGAGAATTACAAATACCGTAAACATCTCTCAATCATAATGCAATTGCGGTGAAAATATATAATCGTAAGTAGGTAAATGCTTGAATATACCTATAAGATCCTGACGAATATTCAAGAGACAAGCAATTCACTATGACGATCATGTTCTAGAATTTCGATGACGTGAAACAAAGTAAGTACGATTACGATAAACAAAATCTAATATCACAGTGTATAAACACCGAAGTGATTAAGCGGTATAGACTTAGGTATTTGAAGAAGAAATTAGAGAGAGAATAGTAAGACTATCTAAAGAGTATGTACACACCGAGCGCGATACCAAGCAGTTTAGGATTTTGTAGTTATTATGTCTAATATCAAGATTAATAATAATAATTAAACTGCGCCATCTAGTTCCAAGCTAAGCAGAGCTTGTGTTATGGATACTAGATAGCTAATATAAATACTCGGATACTTTTTTTGTAAATAGATAATAAAATATAAATTGATCACTGTGGTCACGACACTGACGGCGGCAAGCTGCCACGGTAGTGCTGATATATTATACTACCCCCTTCGATTAGTAGTCCTAATTTATGAAAGTGGGCAGCAAGTTGGGGTTCGGGCCAGAAACGCCTTGTAACTTATGTTGTGTCTAGACTCCAGCTGCATCACCCTCAAAGTCAGATTACTACTTGTCAGTATATAGTCGACAATATCCTGCAAAACCTAACACTTTTAAGAGTTCATTATTGAAAATGTACCTAGTTAGGTACGTGTTGTTGATAACGTACTTATTGACGTTGCGTTATCTAGTCATTGGATGACATGTAGCGCGATAACGCTGCCAGGTATTATTAAGTCGGTCATATATTATAACCCAATTCTTTAGCATAGCATAGCTAAAATGCAGAAAATATTAACTAATCAAAATGTTTTAATCATAATCACTGAATACTCTTTAGGTAGGTGGGTTTTCTAAATTATGGGTTTGTAGGCTGGGATATTTTTTATATCAATACGTACATAAGACAACAATGTATCAATTAAGTGACTTCAGTTTCTTGCCATTTCTTCTCAACTGAAGTACTTGGCTAGGAGATGATGTAATCCCGGCCGATTTCGGCCACGGCGACTATCTTCAGTTCCGATTTTGTCGTTGATGTGCTCGCATGTGACTTATGTAGCCTATTTTGTGTGTAAAAATCCTCGCACATTGCGGGCATGAGAGCACACCGCTCATATAATTATAGCTGATAGCCGCAGATGGTCGGGCTTTCAGCTTGTCACGTCTGGCATCCAGCTCAAGGAGCCGCCGGTTTTCAAAAGCTTTGACGCTAGAATTAACAAGCGCTCTCCACTCCGGTCGTTCGGCAGCATGCTGCTCCCACATCGAAGGATTGATGTCGCACTGCTTCACACAAGCACTGGTACAAAGATGTGCTGAAGCGACACATGTCGCTTCAGCACATCTTTGTACCTGAGGAGTTGTCCGCCATGCTTCCGCTTGCATTCCTCAAGTTCTGAGTAAAAGATGCACTTAGCCGTTCTTTCCTCCATCATACGCTTCACATGCCCGCACCACCGAAGCTGACGCCGCATAAGATAAGACTCAATACCACCGACATTGGCCCTACGCAGCACTTCAGTATTCCGTACGCAGTCAGACCATCGGATATGAAGTATTTTCCGTAAGCACTTGAGGTGGAATCGGTCTAGCATACGGATGTGACGGCGATATACTGTCCACGTTTCGGCAGAGTATAAGATGTTGGGCAGCACGACTGCCATGTAGACATTGATCTTCGTTGCCAACCTAAAGTCGTGCGAGTTAAAGACCTTAGAGTCCAGCTTACCAAAGGCCGCTGCAGCAGCACCGATTCTGCTGTTGATCTCTGCATCATGATCACACTTCGATGATACTGTGCTACCTGGGTAGCGAAACTTGTCCACCTGCTTTAGCTCATCCCCTCCGAGTGTAATATTCAGTGACTCGCGACCATGAGTATCCAAAGACATCACCTCCGTCTTTTTGACACTGATTTTTAAGCCAAATTTTTGGCACGACTCGTGGAAATCGGACATTAGCTGTTGCAGGCCCCCTGGGGATTCTGCTACGAAGCACAGGTCATCAGCGTACATCAAATCAGTGATCACGGCATGCGACACTTTGCTGCGGGCTTTCAGTCTGGCTAGATTAAAAATATTGCCGTCCGTGCGAAATCGAATGCGAACACCTTCAGAAGTTGTTTGTGAGACCTCTTGGACTACGACTGAAAAGTATAACGCGAACAATGTGGGTGGGTGTGGGTAGAACGCACCCCTGTTTTACCCCACAGGTGACGGGGAAAAAATTGGACTGTTCGTCGTTAACAGTGACGCAGCACTGCATGTCGTCGTGCAGGAGTCTTAGAAGTCTCACGAACTTCTCTGTACATCCGATTTTGTGAAGTACAAGCCAGAGGGCTTCGCGAGGCACACTATCGAAGGCCTTCTCAAGGTCAACAAAACAGAGATATAAAGGACGACCTTGCTCTCTGCTCTTCTCCTGTAGTTGTCTCACTGAGAATATAGCCTCACACGTACCTCGTTCTGGCCGGAAGCCGAACTGGGTTTCGGGAAGAAGTTTTTCGGAAAGCGTCATAAGGCGGTTCAGCAACACTCGTGCAAAGACTTTTCCAGGGACTGATAGTAGCGAAATACCACGGTATGAATTACAATCGGACCGGTCACCCTTGTTCTTATATAGGGCCCTGATAAGTGATACTTTAAAAGTAGATGGGACTTGTTCCTCTTGCCACATACGAACAAAATGTTCCCATATAGCCGAATGCAATTCATCACCGTCGTATTTAGACAGTTCTCCCGGTATAGAGTCAATGCCCACCGCATGCTTATTTTGCTGTTGTTTGATGGCGAGTGCAATCTCCTCACGAGTGAGTGTCTCGTCCAGCTCAGTAGCGACAGGGAGTTGCGGAATCGAACGAATGTGTTCTAGGTCAGCAGCCCGGTCCACGTTTAGCAGAGTGCTGAAGTGTTCTGCCCATCGTGCAAGTACTTCCTCTTTGCTCTTAAGTAAACCTACTCCAGACAGCGGATTTAACGGTATTTTAGCAATAGAGGTTGTGCCAATTAATTTCCGAACCTCGCTGTAAAATTCTCCGAGCTGATTCGTGACAACGAGCCACTGAATCTGTTGAGCCTTCTCTCGCCACCACTTGTCTTTGGCCTCTCTAGATGATCGCCTCAGCTGCAGGTTACTTTGTCTGATCTCCGCAACGCTCACATTTTGGTCAGCTCCGCGGTGTTGTCGGAGGAGACGGCGATGCTTGTCAATTGCTTCCGTCAATACTTCATCATTCTCATCAAACCAGTCGTCGTTCTTACGGACTCTACTACCCAAAGAAGTTGTGGCCGTGTTCAGTATGTGAGAAGACAGAGCACTCCAGTCGCAATCCACAATGCCGCCGTCTTTATTGATGGATGGCAAACCAGAGACCAAAGATCGAGCATATTCTTTCCTCATCTCAATATCTTGAAGCTCATCTACGTTAAGACTCGCATTGGGCTTTGATCTACCAGATCTTCGAGGACGATAGAGGCGAAGACGTAACTTAGTAACAATAAGCCTATGGTCAGTCCAGCAGTGCGCACCACGCATGACGCGGGTGACGAGGACTTGGGAGACGTCACGTTGCCGAACGATTGCGTAGTCAATTAGATGCCAGTGTTTGGACCTTGGGTGCATCCATGTATTCTTGTATTTAGGCAAGCGGGAAGCCTAAACAAGGTACTCGTTATTGCAAGATGGAATTGTGCACATAAACTGAGTAAAAGCTGGCCGTTGCTGTTCATGGAACCAACTCCATGCCTACCCAACAACATTGGGCCATGCATCGTAATTCCGTCCTACTCTGGCATTAAAATCACCCAACAGAAGAATCTGCTCTTTAGGTCTTACGCTTTCGATACAGCTTGAAAGCTCTTCATAAAACTGATCCTTAATGTCATCAGACTTATCCATAGTCGGCGCATAGATACCGATGCCATTAAGAAAGTTGTCTTTGTCCAGGTGTAGGCGCAGTGTGGTAACGCGGTCCGAAATATGAACCGGACACTCTTGTAGCTGGTTAACAAGTCTATTCTTAATCGCAAATTTAACACCTGACCGACGTGTCTCAGAGGCAGCGAGTCCCTTCCAAAAGAAAGTATACTCGCCACCGCGTTCCACCAGCTCCCCTTCATCAGCTAGGTGTGTTTCGCTGAGCTGAGCAGCCACATCTATATCATAGCGACGAAGTTCACGGGCAACAATGGCGGTTTTCCATTTCCAACGGAAAACGTTCGGGGCAGATATTTTCATCGCGATCAAGCAGGGTACGTACATTCCACGCGCCGAATGTCATAATAGGGATTTTATTATTTGTATACTTTCTGTGGCGTCGACCGCGAGTTTAACGATGCGGAGGCAGCCGCAGTTGCTACCGTCCTAAAGTGTTGGGGTGAGCAATTTTTAGGACATCTTTTCTAGCCCCCTCCCTGGCTGAGCAGGGAAAGCAGTGCTTCCCTGAATAGGGCTGCTTTGCCACTCCAGGTGCTGCCGAGCCCTCTCTGTCCCCCCTGATCAGAGAAGGAACGACCACGGTATTCTAGGAACACCCCCAGAGCCGCCCGCGTGCAGGTCTCAGACAAAGCCCAATATGCATTAAATCGGACCTCTCTACCTCGACCCATCGCCACGGGACTTTCCGTCAAATCGGAGTCCATATTCGGAAGCAGTCAGTTGCGCAGGAGATATTTAGGTGCACAAGCGTACGCGCAAACACATGTGCACACCCTCGTCTTCTCCCATCTTGATCCAGTGGAGCGGAGAGACCGATACGACTGGAGACAGGTTCAGATGATGTGTCTGGCCAATGATAACTCTGTCCTCTATCATTGCCTTAAGCCGTCCACCAGGCCTTGCTATCCCGTCGGGTCCGCCAAACTTGTTGCATATCTGCGATGAGTCGCCTTTATACCACCGGGATAGACTTCGTGCACTAAGCGGGAGGTATCCGCTGTACAACCTGCCTCAACGGCAGGCCCCCTCGAAGGCTAGGAGAACTACAAGTTTGGTACAGTAATAAAATATGATGAAGTTAGTAGTCAGTTGGACTTTGATTTTGACTAGGAGCGCTCCCTTAAAGCGTTATTTACATAGCTCCGGTATATAAGTGCTTCACGGGGACCAAGAAAATACTGAATGTGGTATATTTTGTATGAACTTGTTCACGCTGGCTCATGTATGTAAGATTAGAGTTTTAAGAGTGAGTAGCTTGGTATCTAGAGCATGCTCTATGGTATACGTATGGTATTATAGAGATGCTATATGTACGGTAGTGCCAACCATTAAACAATTTTATAAGCTACAAGGACGATATTATGCCATATATATTTTTATAATCTAATCTGTGATTTTGTATCCCAAAATAAACACATAGAGACTGATAATTCCCAATGTTGTCCAATGAATAATGCCTTTATAATTTACTATACATTGCATATTGATATTGATGATGAATAAATCGGCAACACACTTCGGAACGGCTTAAAAATACCGGAGTACACCGATAGAGATCTCCATCATACGTATGAATATGACTCCAGGCCAAATATCTAATCAGAATTTACCACTCATTATTTATGTGACGGTCATTTATTTTAATGCAATAATTGCAATTACATTAATTGCAAACAAGATGACGACCCATCAGATTACAGGTGTTTGAAACTTATCCGTTGCTATTTCGTAGTACTTATGTTATCAATGGTAGTACAAAGATGTTATTTACGACTCTTCTCTTACAAATTCACTACCATATTACCCTTCAACCGATACACTACAAAGCAAGCTGCTTGGATGAATTTGGTAGACAGAGCTATAATGTTATAATATGCATACAATTCCGTCCTTATTTGATAAAGAAGAAATAGTGAATATTGTATATCAGCCTTTCTGTATTCAATATAGGTATATAAGGTATACCAGTATACCTTATATACCTATATTTAATATCCAGATATTTATGTAGTCCAGATATAAATAAAGACGACAACAAATATTATTATTGCGGTTCTTAGTACTGATAGCTCATATAAGCTGTTCTGCTGTTGATGTTAGTTTGCCTTTTTTTACACACTTCGCCTCATATATACATTTTTTTAAACACATATGTAATACACATAGATTAGATAACAGCCAAACCGATTCTCATACTCATAAATTCAAATTTTCGTACCGTGCGAGGAATCGAACCAGCCATCGGAAGTAAGGCTCAATCGCTAGATCATCGAGGTCGCTGAAAGGTCGTATGTTAATAAATAATATTGAGTTTGAATTTGAGTTTACGGGGTAACCTGGCTCGGAGTCGAACTTGTGTTACTTACCGTTATCACGATAAGTCGTGTATTATTATTAAACTCTACTGATACTGCATTTACATTAAAATTTTATACTTATAGTCCATGCTCTACACGGAGAAAGAGTTTATTAACCGCTTTGTTAGATTTATTTTCATTGAAAATATCGTAGGTATCGAGTATGACGAAGCAAGCAGCAAAGAAAAAGATAAGAAAACCAACACATATCAAGTGGGATATGTGTTTGTCATTCTTTGTATTTCTATTATCTTGCTTAACATATTTACTATATTTAATTATTTTGTTTTATACATGTATCGCAGAAATGTAAAATAGTAACACAGGCAAATAAGATTTGAAAAACATTTTCAACCTTATTATCAACAACGTAGAACCTTGAACGTTCTAACTTTACCAGTGCGGAAACGCGAAGTGACGTGGTATGTTTGCAGCGACATTACCTACGTAGAACTAGTTAATTGGTCGTACTGAAAGAACAATATTCTATGTACCTACCTATATAGTAGGTATCGACTATGTTAGTTCATCGCTATCTTGCGAATAGTAGTGTTGTACGCGGTTTTTCCTAGTTCGTCCTTCACACTCTAATAGTCTAATTTTGTGTTGAATGCGCAATAATAGGTACATCAGTGTTTTGTTATATTTTATATACATATGAAATAAGGTATCTGCAACGCATTTATATATATATATATAAATGCGTTGCAGATACCTTATTTCCTAAAATCCGTGATACGCTTATCAAACTGATAAGCGGATTAAGTTGTCTGCAAATAGCACTTTCAGTTAGTCTAATATCATACATGATCCGGTAAAGTGTGTTTTATATTTAATTTTTATTTTGTGAAACAGCAAACATGGTCCAAAGGCATAAAGATGTTGGAATTAATTGTATTAAATATATGTTGTTATTTATAACAGCTATATTTGTGGTAAGTTAATTTATGTACTTACCTATGTGTTGAAATTGATATTCAGTGAGGCTTATCAATGCTTTGTGTCGCAATTTTGTTATGAGATTATCTACCTTATTAGCACTTATGTGGAAATGTAATATTTATTATTGATAAATTTATAATATATATTTACTTTTTGATAATTTACTAATTTTTATTGTTTTGTTATTGCTTTACTTCCGTGTTGGTTTACATGACTTCAATTCAAAGGAACTTTGTGTCTGTGCTAAAAACTATATAATTATGTATGTACTTATCATTTCTTAGCTTAAATAAAAACAAAATATCGCATGCATTAGTTAATAAATAAATAAGTTAAGGCTTCTTCTAAAGGTTGTTTAATAAATGGTAATGGAATGATACTCCCAGTTCGCTAATAAATACCTACTGGCGAAACACTATTGGATGATGGTAGTAATAAGTATATTGAAGTTTACTAGTAAGAGGAATATATCAAAATGGCTTCCAGGGGAAACTGCATAATAGTTGATGTTAATACTTGTTAAGGCGTCTTAATTATTGCCATTCCCCTTCTTTCAAGAAGTTAGGAGAGATGTTATGTCTGTACTTCCACTTACAGGATATCATGAAATTCGATGTTTTTTTATTGACTATTTGTTATTTTATGATTCATTTTTATATAGTTCTTTATCTGTGTAAGATATGATAACAATATCTATTGCGATAATGAGAATCGAATATCAGAATCAATTTTAGGTTGAGATATGGAACTTTTATTGTTTACTAGCTGTTACTTGCGGCTGCGTCTGCTTTATAAGACACTAGCTACTGTTCCGGCTTCGCACGAGTATACATGTATTATATATATATATAATTCTTCCTTTTGAATCAATCTATCCACTTCAGAAACCTGCTTCAAAATCCGTTGCGTTAGTTTAAAGATTTGAGCATAGGGACAGACAGCGACAGCAACTTTGTTTTATACTATGCAATCATGATCAAAGACAGACGGTATCTCCTTCCTAGTGAACAAACTAACATTATGTTAAATTTCGTTTAGTTTTGAAACGGTAATAAAAACAGACAAAAACACTTTCGCATTTATAAATATTACCTACCATTTTGAGATTGAGATTTTAATTGAGAATTCATTATTTTATGTACAATATAGAGTAGCCTATATGCTTATCAGTTCTAACCATGAAATTATGACTAAGGCTTTATAGTTTCAAGTTAGAAATAAATAGTAGGCAAGTTTAACGACTACGTATTTTACCGCTTTTTTCATACAAGAGAATAAAAAAACTATGCCCAACCGCCTGGCCACCGCTGTAGTAGGTGTGTCGAATCTACTGATAGCGCGCGCAACACCGTTGCCTGGTAACCTTCCATGCTTAACTATCAACAAACCTGACATTGCGAACCGAGTTTCTTCTATACTCTTCTTTTAATATTAAAAGAAGACGTTTTTTATTTAATTTATGTACAAAATGTTTGGAAAATAGAAGGTAAGAGAGGGAGGGGAAGAAAAAGACAATTACATCTAGCAAATTAAAGACAAAAATGGAATCGTGTCGTATAAACATTTAAAGACGATGGAAGGTCGTGGAAAATAGCAGAGCTCCACTGACAAGAGTGTGGCTTTTAAATTACGACTGAATTAATAATATATCTAAATTAATTATTTAGTACACATGTTATACTCGTCGTATGTAAATATTCTTATCTGTAAATTGCCGTGTTTATTTTAATTTCTTCGCTTGCCTTTTCTTGGTGCTACTGCGACAAAGAACACAAATATAACAGGCATCTTAGCCTAAGCGTAAGTAGGTATAGAAATAGAAATAATCTTTGTTGAAATAAACTCAATACAAACACTTTTGAATAGTCATATTTTTTTATTCTACCACTCATTCGGAATGTAGACTCATCACAAGAAGAATGAGCAAGAAACTTGTGTTCCTTTTTTTGAATAGATGTTATAAATATAATAAATAATTAATAATTACACAATAACGAGCAAGAGGCATGCGATGCGATAAATCAACATAAAAACCGTTACGCTCATACTAATTTTTAGCGCAATCTGATAATATTCTCAGTGCTATGAATTTTAAGTTTTTTCTAGAAAAACATTATTATCGTTTACAAAGTCTTAGTTTGTAAACGATTATAATGTTTAATATATAATAATGATTAATTAAAAATAATAATGTTTTTCTAGAAATTTTATAATAAGCTATTTCACAAACTACAAATAGTAGAATAAATCCTTCTGTAATAAGAAAAGGCCTGTATCCAACATTGAGATAATAATAGGATGTTGATCATGACTCGACATTCGCATATATGACGTCATAATCTTACCGCTTTACTGTAAATAAGAAGAGGGGGGAGGAGGGGAATGTTAGTATTGATGACTAGCAATCTAATTGTCAGTAATCTACCCTATTAGTTCGACTTCTTTGCGGTTCCCCTTGGCAGCTATTTTTGTTTACTTCCTGGTAAATACGCCACTATCGGCCAACGGAACTCAATTCGTACTCATCCAGACAAGCATCGTACATCAGAGTAGGCGAGAGCAAAATTCCATTGCTATCCATTAAACATATACAATAATAATAACAGCGCCATCTAGTACCAGGCAATGAGAGCTTGTGGGTATTAGAGAACTGATATAAATTAAATACGTTTTGCTTTGTAATGTATTTGTTGTTTTTATTTGTAATAATGTATTTAGATACATATACAATATATATAGAAACCACCTATTATAGACTAATACAAACCATCACGAACATGTATACAAATGTTTGGACCGTGACAGGAAGTGAACCCGCTAAAGATGTGTGCAAACCTGATAGACCACTGAGGACGTCAATATAAATCAATAGATACAATATTAATAAGTTAGCTATATTATACAGTGGGCATTATTGTCCGTCTCACAAACTGAATCACTGATGTTTTTTTAATGAGTATTAATGACTGCTATTGTGCGTCAACCTTGATAACAATCTAATATTAAATATGTTGGTAGTCATAGTCATCGTATTAAGATTTCACATATTTTTATAGTTAGATACTTTAAGTATAATATATTACTTGCACTTAGATTTAAAACAATTAAAAAAAAATGTTAAAAGAACTAAACATAACATAAGGGTAAGTTAATTAAAAATATTATACATAAATGGAAAAAATATTTAAGGAAATCAAATTAATCTGTATGTTTTAGTAACTATATTATTTATGTATTTAACCTCACCTTCGGGTCGCCTGTCAACAAAAACTTTTGTATTCACGAGTCTGACTCACTTTGTACTAGACACAAATTTATATAAATAGACAAACTCATAAGTATGTCTTACATGTATGTAAAACTGTAAAAAAAAAGTATTTAATCTCTGCTTTGGATACTTTACAGTATAAAAGTGCTTTTATACTGCTTGTAAAATTTTCTATGTTATTTCATTACAATTATAATAGCTGACCCGCACAACTTCGTCTGCGTCTGCAATATGTTGGTTGTAATGGGCTATCTAAGAGGAAAAGATTTTTTCAATATGAAGTAGAAATCAGTTCCTGAGATTAACGCTTTTGACCAAACAAACAAACTGTTCAGATTAGTAGATAGGCTCTTTGCTTTATCTAATCGAGAGTGCCAGTTTTGTGAACACAACCTAGAAGCGTATATTATTAGTTTCAATTAGCAGCAACGCCATCTAGTAAGTAGAGCTTATGTTATGGGCACTAGACAAGTTATAGAAATACTTAAATAAAATTTTGTTGTATTTTCATTCTGTCAATTCGTTCATCGTTTTTTATTGGATTTTTAATACTTTGTAGAAGGTACAGGAAAATGTCTGTCGGGTAACTAGCCTTATATAAAATTTGACAAATTCATTACAATTTTATTTGGAAAATGCCATAGAGTGTATTTTATGCCGGCTAATCAATTGGGTATCAATTAGATGAATTCCATAGAGACAAGTTATAATTAATTGTTATTTCTTTTATTTTCAGATAACCTCCGCGTTGATTATATCTGTGGGCACGACGATATACGCCATCTACCATGATGTCGCATTCTTCCTCTACGACAACTTCTTCTCGCCAGCCATGCTGGTCATCGTCATTGGCATCATCATGCTGTTTGTCTCGCTGTTCGGATGCATCGGTGCGTTGAAGGAAAGCACCTGCATGGTCAACATTGTAAGTATACAGACAATATTTCTCCCTAGAAACTTTTTTTTGACGTAACTGTATTGGGAAGCAAGTTGGTGGCCTCATGGAAAGTATTATATTTAAGTAATATTCCTACATATGACAGCGTTATAGCTTAATGGTTTAACGTGCAACATACTTCAACAGATCGTGACTGTATATCTAGTCATAAAGAAGTTAGTGGCCAAAAATGATACACCTGACTAACTCTTCTGTGATGAAAACTATTATAACAAACCAAATTTATCCCAGAGATAACGGAAGCAAAATGTAGGCCTGATACTTTCATCACGACGAGTACATTTAACAATGTCTCTGATTACCCCATCGGGGATAACAGTCGTAACGGCATTTTATTATCATATATCATTAAATGTTACTTCACATTTCCCTAAACGTGATACTACGCCAAGTATTTCTTATTATTAAAAATCATGATAATTCCTCAGTTCGCAGTATTCCTCAGCATTGTACTGATCTTGGAGCTGGCTGCTGCGATAGCAGCGTACAGTCTCCGATCTCAGATCGGGGACATGTTGGACGATAAACTGACACTCTCGATACCATACTATTACGAGAGCGATGAAGTACAGGACTCGTTCGACTTCATTCAGAGCAGGGTGAGTATATCTCGTTAGAATCCTGACTTTCATTTAACCCTATTTGGCTATATAGACTAATCAATACTACTATAAGAATGAAAATCATTGTAAAAATTAAATCTATGTAACATCCTATAACTAATTAAAAAAAATTTGCTCACACAGAGTTTCTTGCAAAAATTGAACTAAATAAGCTATGGTTCTGCAAACGATGTCTTAAAACATAATCTATTCTTTCAAAAATTGTTTTCTGCGTTTGGTATAACAAATATCTAGACACGCGGCAGCGTGTCAAGCCGAGTTTCAAGTAAACTGGCTTGCAGCACCGTGTGTATATTTACACGAACCATTTGGAGCCACTTTTGACCCCCTCATAACTCAAAAACTCTTTCACACAAACCTGTCAAATTTGGTTCATATATTGAGACTTGCGAGATAAATATGTGTTCCAAATTTCATAAACATATCTCAAACGGTTATTTAGATATTAATGTCCAAAAATCGTCATTTTTATCACTGATCAACTATAGATCAAAATTATAACCCACTTCCAGATGACCTAGGAAGTTCAAATTTGGTATGCAGATAGGTAATTAGGTGAATATAAAGGAAAAAATCTGAAACTGGTAAATTGTTATCATTTTACTACAATTTTTCACTTTAATTGATTCTATTTCAACTTATACTGGACGAATACTAAAATTCTATGAAAACGTCGATAGCCACCAATTGACATTGATCCCTGGCGAAAAATCTCATCTTGTACTGGACCGTAAGTAATATTGTATGAAAACGTCGATCATTACCAATTTACGTTGACCCCTTCACATCAGTGTCGATAACTAGCAAACTTCAAATATTGCATTGAGCGGTAAACACTAGTTGCTATAATTTAGATTCTGTCTAAAATATACTCGTACTTATAACTAGGAGTATAGTCGAATTTCGTATTTATTATGTTATTAACTGAGATTTGGTATTAATTATTGTTTCAATATTTAGCGCACATCGATAGTGTCAAATCATTATTTTTATAAATAATTATTAAATAATAGGCATTTCGGTATAGGGCGCCGCGGTGGCGCCGTGTGGGAGCGGTGCGATAAAACTCAATGTTTTGTTTCTGGATATCTAACCTATAAGGTTGCGATTTATGCTACGAAATTTATAGCTTTCTTAAATTATACTTATATATTTGTGATTATATTATTATTACATTATTTTAGTAAATACGTATGGTATAGACAATAGTTTAAACCAAAAATTAATAACAATTTTAGTATAGTTATAAGTAGGAATGTACAGTTAACTCGAGAATGAGAACTTATTGGTAACAAATTGTTTTCTTGAGAATTCAATAGATAACAGTCAATTTGTTACATAATCGTCTTTACGAACTATAACGTGTCAATACGAAGTTTCAGATATTAAATAATGTAGATATATGTTGATAGAGAACAATTCCGTATTTGCTTAACATATGCTAATTACTATCCACAAATCACAAGGCCTTAGTTTTGGCAGTCCTCTTCTCAACATAGCCTCCTCTATATTTAATAAAGGGCAGGTTTACGTTGGACTCTCCAGAGTTAAAACCTTAGATGGAGTACGTCTTAACAATTTAGATCCAAGTCACGAGAGCTCTATTGTAGAGTACAACCATCTGTGGACGTTATACCGCCCCGATTTGCCCAAAAATTCCTGATACTGAATTGGCATTGCACTTGAACATTTAAAAGTTACAAGAAAATATAGAAAATAACACAAAAAAAAGACAATTATACCCCGTAAATATACGAAAATACAGTAATTTATCAAAAATAATTTGGTATTAATTTAGTTATAAATAAGTACCTCGTATAATTTATGTACAAAAAGTAATGATATCCCATCAAAAACATAAATGTGAAATGATAGCCGAGTTTAATATTATGATATATGGCTCGATTGTTGACTTCTACGACAAAAGAGATGAGATCTAAATGGGTGCCAAGTTCAATGGTCTGTCCTGAAATGTATTTATAACAATATAAAATATCATTTCTTCTTATAACTTAGGATAATATACTGTAGCCTAAGGTCTAACTTGGCTAGTTTTCATATACGAAATATACTGTAGCCTTCGCAAGTTCTAAACATGTTACTTGTCGGTTCCTATTTTAATATTAATAGTAACTAGCAATCGAAAGTAATAATTGGTATATGAGAACTGGCCAAGTTAGACCTTAGGCTACAGTATATTATCCTAAGTTATAAGAAGAAATGATATTTTATATTGTTATAAATACATTTCAGGACAGACCATTGAACTTGGCACCCATTTAGATCTCATCTCTTTTGTCGTAGAAGTCAACAATCGAGCCATATATCATAATATTAAACTCGGCTATCATTTCACATTTATGTTTTTGATGGGATTTCGTTCTAAATTAAATCATTATGAAGAATAAATAGAATAAGTAAGTTAAATATAGAGTATTTAAGTACTTATTCTTCATAATGATTTAATTTAGAACGAAATATTTGTGTGTAGGACAGTTCATTCTCTTTACATTCTATATTTGAATTAGTTTTTTTATTAGTAAATACTTCTGCGACTGACAAAAATTGTTTAAACTGTAAATTAGGATATTTTGGGCCCGTTTCATATTCTTGAACAATTGTTTTTAATTTCCACTTAGCACTGTTTAGGTAGGTATATGTGATATTAGTTGTAATACATATAACCAAGATAGTGACTTTCTAAGTTGTATACAATCATAGAACAAAGAAGAGTTATTTCGCTGTTCTGTCAATAGAACAATATTTTACGCATGTTTATAGTTACACTTGTAGTAGTAGTAAATGTTTATTATCTTAGGGGGTTTTAAAGTATCTGATATATTATTGAACAGTTGAACTGCTGCGGAGTGGACAGCTACCTCGACTGGGGCGACGTGGAGTCCCCAGCAGGTGTATCAGGTATCAAGATTGACAACATGACAGTCCCCAACTCTTGCTGCGCCATGACTCGCACCGAATTAGTTGGAGATCTTGAAGTTGAACAATGCACAAAACTTTATGCAAATGGATGCTTGCCGAGAGTGTACTACTTGATATATCAGAGTGCTGGCCTGTTAGGAGCTGGAGCAATGACTATTGCTTTGATTCAGGTACGTGTTATAATATTCATAGCTGCTGCTAATATACCATGTTGACAAGTAAAAGTTTGTCAGCATTGATGTATGGACATTCTCTTGCGTAAATTTTACTGAATACATTTGAATTACATTTGTATCAACATCAAATTAGTACGGGACTAATTTGGGATGAACTTAAAGAAAATTGCATAATGCATTATAATTATGCATTTTATAATGTTAAAAATGGATAAAAACAGTATTTTTTATATAATTGGAAAGGCAAAGGAGATAATAATATAGGTATAAGCAAAAGATATAACTAAGATTTCATGCGTAAGATATCGTACCTAGTAACTTAACTACTATATTACCCTTTAATCAAAATACAGCTTACAATGCAGCTAAACCAAGTTTACACCACGAGGACATTGTACAGTCTATCTCGGAACATACATTTTCAGAAGTACTTTTATTATCTTATTATTCAATTCATACTGTAATAATTTATATATGTTTGTGGATATATTTCATTGTGACGTATGTACTATATATTGTACCTTTTTCCACCACTTCACAATTCCTCTCAGTCACTCCAACGTTGACTGGAAAAAACCTTCTTTTGGTATAAGTCCGTCATTGAACGCATTTGTTCTTAAGTCAATTGTTTCCTTTTATTTATAATTTTATTGTACCTATATATCATTATTTTCAGTTCATCGGTATCGTGTTCTCCTTCTCTTTGGCAAGATCTATTCGAAGGGCCAAATCTGAACGTCAACGCAGACTATGGGAAATCCAGGAGCGTGTACTCAATAGCGAACATTCCGCAAAATTGGGTCATGAAAAAATTGTTCCCGTTGTCTATGTACCGTACCATGGACAAAGTAATGCATAAACAAATATATTTTTTAATTAAAATATAGGCAAGACCATATTACATACACGATTGTTTTAACTAACTAAGCCGACAGTGAAATACAAGTAATAATATAACAAGATTTGTTTGTAACAAGATGTTTTAGGTCATGGCGATTCTAGGTATTCGATTCTAGGTCATGTAGTGTCGGAGATGATGCTGTTTATGATGATATAAATTGGCTACTACTAAATAAATTACATAAAATATATAATTTAATAATAATAAATTCTTTTATAGAATTCAAGCCATTTATGGAAATATTCGTAGTATAAGATTGTTCGTGGAAGGTAACCTCAGAAATTAAAGTAAACACAGTATTATATTACAACCATACTGGAAAATATGGTCAGCCTAAAAAAAAATCTTAATAAAGAGTATATGTTTTGTGTGAATATAGAGATATGTGAAGATAATTTGTTACTTTAAGCTATCTACTTAAAAAACTATTTAATTATATATTTTAAATATGAATAAATCGATGCCAGGGACTTAATTTTGAAATAATAGTGAAAATTGAATACGAAAGAAACAGCAGAATTTTGTTGTCCGAAATAATTTAAAATTTTGTCAACCGCCTGTATTGTAAATATTGGTATCTACAATAAAGTAATTAAAAAACTTACCTGTATATACATATAAAATTATCATTTTAAAAACTATGGTTTATGCAAGTGAACACCGACTTCAGAGATAAACTATTTGATCATGAAGTACATTTTCATGCGATGAGATTTTATTTAAAAACATGAAAAACTATATTACTCCCTCATAAGTATTATGATATAATCTAACTTTCTTACTGAGAAACTTTTAAAAGTAAAACATTCCTTATCCATTTATTGAATTTATATATTTTGAAAATTGGATAATCACTGACCTGATTAAAATTATATTATGCTGTATCAGTGTATGACAGATAGTAATATCTTTTGTATGTATGTCCTCACGTAGAAGAAAATACATCCCGCTAATGAAAATGAGTAATTTAATTTATTTGAAATGATAAGTGCCTGTTTTGAAGCCCGATTTTGTCGGAGATTCGATCGGTCTTTTCCCTACCCTCAATTTTTTTCTAATAAATGTTTTCTGCCTTCTTTAATTTCCTTGGGTAGTGATGGGCGGCAACAATAACTTATTATAATATTGTTAGGTGTAACTTCCTGTGGTGGCGCCACCGTCGTGCGGTGGGTCTATAAAAGGCTGCGAAACCCGGTGTGCGGCCTCTTTTGGTCGACAGACGTGCTCTCGAACGAATCTCCGTATCATACCGTGTTTGCTTTATAAGTTCTTTTACTGATTTTGTTAAAATTAATTATACGATTTGTTATCAGTTTCTTTTATTAAATTAAATTTAGAGGATACTCCTAACATCAGAAGTGGGATTCGAGGCCATTTTTGGTCGCGAATAACATTTTTGACTAAGGATTGATTACTTGTCGAGTAGAAAAACGCCCATCGTTACGAGAGCACGCGTCTCCGTTCTCCACCTATCAAATATAGGTGAACTAGGAGCGTTAATGGACGTAAGTCTCAACAACTGGTGTCGCTGGAACAACGTGCGGTCGCTCAGCGAAACAGGGGTTCGCATATAGCTGCCGACGTAGATGCTGACGACGTGCCTGCGCCGGCACCGGCCCCGCCGCGCTGTCGCCGCCCGCGCAGACAGTCGGCGCGCCAGCCAGACCCGCCAACACGGCGCCAACGAGCGCACCCGGTGCGGTGGCGCGATCGGTTGCTACCTCAACAGACATTACGAAATGTCTTATCGACGCTTAATGTCATGAATCTGGTGAGATCTTTCCATTTTTATTTCATACTTTTAAGTATGCGCAACATTGACGAATAGTTGCGATGAAGTACATAGATCGTGGTCATTCAGTGAACTGACAGACGGTGTCAGATTTGTCGTTAAAAGGTGAAGCAAGTGCGTAGTAACGTGAGTGAGCTAGTGATGATCATACTTGGTCATATATGATAGCAAACTACGTAGTATAGAAGTAGATTCTTAAATACGGTGCTATAGTTGCAATATAGTCGAGTAGTATAGAAGTAAATTTAGTTCTTTTGAAAAATAACCTACGGACAAAATCGTATATGCGTTTTGTAAGAAGATAGGTCATACTGAATACGCTTACTTTACAAAGAAATAATCTGAATTAGGCTAACGCAAGTTTTCGCCGTGACTTGGACTAGTGATAATGCACATCGCGACGAAATTATCACGCCGTAATATGCGGGTACCCACAGATGTTTAGTACGATAGTGGTTCAACAACTTTTAAATCAAAATGATCGTTTTCGTGTTGTAAGATGCACATATTATGCTGTTTAGACGGAACGGATATGCGGTCTGATTATACCCACAAATGTTTAGTACGATAGTAGTTCAACTTCTTTTAAATCAAATGATCGTTTTCGTGTTGTAAGATGCACATATTATGCTGTTTAGACGGAACGGATATGCGGTCTGATTATACCCACAAATGTTTAGTACGATAGTAGTTCAACTTCTTTTAAATCAAAATGATCGTTTTGTGTTGTAAGGTGCACATATTATGCTGTTTAGACGAAACGGATATGCGGTCCGATTATACCCACAAATGTTTAGTACGATAGTGGTTCAATAACTTCTTTTAAATCAAATGATCGTTTTCGTGTTGTAAGGTGCACATATTATGCTGTTTAGACGAAACGGATATGCGGTCTGATTATTTTCTTACTTTATCTGCAAAATTCATAACATCTCACAAGAAGTAACTTCTTAGTACCTTGTGATTATCTTAAGACGTCGGTACTCATTGGTAATGATATTTTTAATATTGAAAAGACATTGCGTATACGAAATAACGATTTTTAGCGTATTTTTAGAAACCGCTCTTTTGAAAATAATATAGCGCGTAGTGAATCGATAGCGCGACTTCAATTGATAAATACACCGTTCCGTGGTGATGAAAAAGAAAATTTGTAGTCTTAATGAATAAACATTCTGAATACTTTTTAGTGGCTCAGTCACAGCTATGGTCAATACCGTATAGAGATACACATTCGACTACTTGTTAACGAAGTAGCGTTATGTAGGTACGACGGTTAATTACCGAATCGACCATATAAATTATTTTACAGTTATAAATTAAGCATGCGTGTGAAAATCCAGGTTTACAATTCATTTCCGCTAAGTGTAATTACCTCGCTCCTGAGGTTGTGTATCCTAGGAGACTGGAACTATTTGTAAGAGTCAGGTCAGGCCGAACGTATCCAAAAAGAAATGATGGATTCTTCGTTCAAACAAATTTCAATTTGAGCATCTCATTCATTCATCAAGTAATACTTATTTTTGAATCTTCCGCGTGAACTATCTTATCGTATAAGGAACGAGCGAGGAAGACTAAGTCTGTTGCTTTTTTGAACACTTGTGGTAACTGTACATTTTAAGTTCAAATGTGTGAATACAAACTGCGAATTAGTACTAAATCATTAAAATCTAAATATTAAATACGCAATCAATTGGTTGATTAAGTAAATAAGATTAAAGCGGTGTTAGAGTAGGAAAGTCTCTACAAGCAGTCCTCGTTCATGTGTATGACGGACAGAGAAAATAAACGCCGTAGTAGTTTTGGATACCAAAAACTGTCGAAGCTGCTTGTTGCGGAATACGATGTTGTCGGTTGAGACGATGTATAATAAAAATGAACTGATCAAATGCAAACAATAACATTTAAGGAGAGCTGACATGGTTTGTGCAATATTTAGTTGATATTATTTAGTGATACTGGTCAGCTATCTTATTCGGTATATCCCGTGATACACCCAAATCGCCTCTTGAAATTTTAACGGGGAAAAGAATAGAAACTAGAGAGATGAGATCATCTCTATATTGGCTAGTCAATCCGCGTTGCTTATCTTTGACCATTTACGGACTGAAGTCCATACGGATGCAAGTGCACTAGGTTACGGTACTAATTCAAATAGGAAAAGATGGACGTATACACGCAGTAGCTTTACAATATGTGCAGATCCAAGGTACTACTCCTGAGCTCGAGATACTTGCTGTTGTCAAGGCATTGCAACATCGTCATCTCATCGGAAAACATTTTAGGGTAGTAACTAACTGCAACGCCCTGAAAATTATAAGAGGATCTCTTGCCTAGGGTAGTGCGCTGGTGAATGTGCCTACAGGATCGTGATTTGACGTTTGAATATCGTAAAGGTTAGTTCATATCTCACGCATCGAAATCCTTTTAATAACCTCACGAATCGTAGTAGCATATGCTGCTGATGATGAAACTACTTGTACAAGGGCAGTTGAATAGTTTGCGATATATAAAGAAAATAAATCTTAAAGAAAATAATTATTAACATATCTCTATAGGAAAAAGTCGCGATTATTGTTATATTTCTAAAGACTACGTGTTGACCATATTGACGTGGAAACGTTGTCGAGTTCAAATTAGTTGACGGTTTCAAAGTAGGGTCCATCTTGTAAAGAAATACTATAGAGCACGGAATTGTTTGTTTAATGTGTAAACATGTTACCTTATACTTTATATCACGTTCCTCTCCACCCAATGTCCAGGTCCACTATACTTTCAATACCTTATGATGCAGTACATAAAATGTAACGAATACAAATATATTCTCGTACACTCAAATGCTTTCTCTATTGTACTAATCTATACAGAGTCAAAATAGAGTAGAGTCAAAAAGGAATTTGAGTTTTTCTAATGTAATTTGTATTTTTGAGATAAATTTTATCGTAAGGTATTTAGGTAACACCTCGTGTAAGGCTTTGTGCAGCGTCGAGTGTGTAATAGGTAAGCACCTCATATAAGGCTTTGTGCAGCATCGAGGGTGCTATAGGATACACCTCGTATAAGGCTTTGTGCAGCATCGAGCGTGTTATAGGATACACCTCGTGTAAGGCTTTGTGCAGCGTCGAGTGTGTATTAGGTAGCACCACGCATAAGGCTTTGTGCAGCATCGAGGGTGCTAAAGGATACACC